CAGCACCACCTTTGGCTCCCATCTCTGAAGTCTTCAAGGAAGTAACTAATAAAAAGTTGCTCCTAAATTACATGATCTCTAAGGCGTGGACGGAAATGAAAAACCAGCCCACGGGTCAGGTCTTTCATTATCTTTGTTAAGGTAGCCACAGGGTCAAATCCATCTGTCTGTCCTCTAAAGCCCTAAAGCAGTGAAACAGCTGTGGTTTCATTTGGAAAAGGCCACAGAAAGGCAGTTTTGTGCTCCTTAAGCAAGTTGTCATGTTCCCCAGTGCAATGGGGGCTCCTGGCCTCTGCAGTTGTGGGTCCTGGGGGAGGTTTGGGGAGCTCTGAGTTGAGGGTTGTCCATGGGTTTTGCTACTGGTCTTACCAGAGTTGCAGGGATACCCTGTTCCTCTCCATTCATAATTTTCCTAACAACTTGTAGCATTTTCCCATCTCTGCTCACTTAACTCTGCAGTTTAGACCCTATAGCACTCAAATAGATGTATAATTAGTAACTGGTGAGGGGAGAAACCACTGCAGCACCTGGAGATGAGCCAAGATCTATTTATGGCAAATAATTGACTGGTGCAAAGACCACTCCATCCCAAAAAACTCAAAAGGGATGATGCTTTTGGCTCTGCTTGCGTGCTTTTGGTTATGACGTCCTTTTTTTCCCAGGATACTAAGAATACAGAACTCTTCCATCACTGCAAGTTGTCAGCTTTTGTTCTTCCTCCAGGGGGAAAAAAAAGGGTGCAAATAGCTACTTCAGCCTTTCAGGGTGACCTTCTCCAGTTTGGGACGCTTCAAGGACAGATTTTTGTTTATTTTAATGTTTCTGGAAGATAATTGTATACATGAACAGCTCTGTGCTAAATAAGATACTCACTTTGACTTCTGGTAGTTCTTTGCCCTCCTTGGTCATAAAATTCTAGTCTTGAAAATCCAGACCCAGGAGTTGGGCAACATTAAATATACAGATTATGAATAATCTTTCAGTGAATTGGCTTTATAAACCAGCTTGGCAAAAGCTGCTTCCACAGGATCTTATTTTGTGGAAAATGTAATAGATGTTTCAGTTCTTTCTGAATATTTACATCCATACGATCTGTCTCGGTTTTCATCACAGCAAGCATTGATTATTCCTCTGTATTTCCTTATATTTTGAGACAAGTTGGATTATAATGGTTGATTAAGGATAAAACCAAAAAGGAGGGTCATTGCTTTAAACTTAAACCCTGTGTGAAGGCTATAAATTTAAACCACTTAATAATGGAAAACTTGATCTTTGTGAGTTTTGCTTCACTTGGCTCTGTGCAATTTAGCTTTAGAGCAACAGGGAATTTTCAAAATGTTTTATCTCAAGAGAAGTTTTATTACAGAAACAGGAGAAAATGTAAATATTACAGGATGAAAATAAACATGTGAATATTTTCCAGCATACTGTCGGAAGAGTAACTTCTGAGAGTGGTGTGGCTTTGGGTTAGAGATCTCTGGATAAAGCCACCTCCTGCCATTATTTCATGCTTTTCCATCACTTTATGGGTTGAAGAATTGAATGTTTTGAGGCTTTAATTGTTGGGTTTTTTTTTTACCTGGTTCCTTTAAGGAAAAAAAAGTTTTAATATAATTTTCAGTGTTCTTCAACCCATGTAAGTCATGATATATTCCCACTGAAAGATGAAGGCTCGTGCTCCCCACTTTGGGTACACCTGGCTTTATTTTATCATTTCCATGGTAGGCTGCACTCTGCAGCTATCTCAAGTAAATTGAAAATATATCATTTGGTTTGAAATGTTACGCAGCAGTTAAGAACTGCATTTGTTAACATGTACATAAATGGCTGTGATGAATGGACTGTCTTAGATGAGTAGATAGTAAATCTATCATCAACTTCCATGGGTAAAGCATGGAAGAAGGCTCTGTACTATAAAACCATTCATCCTTTTTATAGAAACTGGCTGCATAAAGATCAGTCTGTAAAGAATTAATTGGTGCAGATCTCCATTAATAACAAAATACTCTTTAAAACAAGTTTTTAACTTGCATTTTGTTGAAACTACGGGTTTTTTCTTGCTGTTTCTGGTGGTTTCCAGTCAGTGGTAAAATGGCAGTGGTCTCCCACTGTGCCATCACTCTGAATAACATTGTCATTGCAGTTTCTCTAAAATACTCTTATTGTAGTTGTTACGTATGAAATTTATTGTTTAAGTATTCTTGGCATTTGCCTGCTTCCTCTGGTTGCTGGAGCTGTCTGTCAGATGCAGCATCTTTGTATCAATTCAGTATGAAATCACAGCTGCTAAACTCTATAAACATTAAACATTCATAATTGAAATGTATCATGGGCATCCTTGGATATAAATTTTTTTTTTTTTTTTTGGTAATGTGCCTTTAGCTGTCTTGCAGTCATTTCAGGGAAACAAAACCTATAAATGACTTTGGCTGCCAGCAGTTCTGTTTGCCTACTTCCCCTACTCCCAACAAAGGTGTAATATGTAAATAGAGGTTTTTTTCCCCTCATTTTGCTCTTTGAATATATTCCAGATAATTTCAGGCCATGCCAGCCTGCATGTTTTAGAGCTAATTGAAAGGAAAATCTGTTCTGCTGCAATAAACAAGGCAAGAGAAATTTTCTCCCTGAACCGCAGTTTCTAAAATAATTTCATGTCAAATCTTGACTCAAATGTTCAACCTGCATGCCCCCAAAGAGGCTTCAGCTCCTATAGAAAGATCAATATAGTCCACCACCTTACTGCTTAAAATATCGATCCCTTCAGGGGAAGGTACCACGTGGTGCTGGCAGGATTTCATACATGAAGCCGGGTTTGCTGAGCAGATGGTCACTGGGATGGTCTGGGGTGATGGGGGCTGGTGAATTTATTTACCCTTAATGGAAAGATTTTGCATTCAGTTATTTTAGGCCACTGAAGGAAACTGTATTATGGTTAAGTCATAAAAGCTTCAAGCTCTTATTATACTCCTTTCAGCTCTTCATTCAGTACCACTGAAATAACATTGCTGTAATTGCCCTAAAACAATAGGCTGGAGGTATTTTGGGCAGTTGCTGACTGCTTGGAGAGATGCTTTTCAGAGGCTTTTTCAGGAGTCAGAATTTGCCCCCAGTTTCTTCCCGGAGCCCTCCCTTTAATTGCGAGGTTGTAATAAATCCAGTTGGCTCTGAAGCACGAGGGCTGCTCTCGGGTTCGTAGCCCCGTGATTTTGGGCAGGAGCAGCCCCTTTGCTTTGCACCCGCTTGTAGTTTTCTGTAAAGCATCCAAGTCTTGTTCTTTAAACCGCAGATAAAAAGGCTTAATTTGTAGCGTGCGTTATGGCTTTATTCCCTCTGTCTAATTCCTGTACATGACAAAGAAATTGCTGGGTTGACCAAGTTTCCTGCTCCTGGCCAAGCCCTTGAGCATCCTCCTTGCTGCTCTAGCCCAAGGATGTTTTTCTTCACAGGCATAAGTTATTTTCTTGTGTCCTTCCATTCCTTTTATTGCCTCTTCCTTTTAGTGGCCTGTGCTGACTTCAAAGCAAAATTTTGATGTTTGGGGCTGCTTGTGCTTGATCTCAGCCCTGAGATTTTTTTTTTTTTTTTCTTTCCCCTGGGAAAGTTTGAGTAGTATCTGTCCAGTCCTTCATGCCTCCTTCTACCTCTTTCTCAGTTGTGCAGGTACAAAAATCCTCCTGGTTACAGCTCTTTGCCTACACCACCTGTCTGGATCTTATAACTTGATAATTATAAGGAATCGTCTTTATTTAGTGGCCCTCGGTGGTTTCCAGCTCCTAGCAATGAGGTGTGCATGGGCTGTGTGTTGTTGAGCAGCATCCTGAAAACCTGAGATCTGCTTTTAATTTAATACCTGTCAAGAAGTTGAACTGAGGTATAACCTTTCCATAATCTCTCCTGACCTTCTAAGCTGTAGGGTAACATGGCACATCTTTTGTCTCGCGCTGGGAATTGCTTTGTCGTCTAGCAGGAGGGAAATAAGTTTCCTCTTTCTTCCTTTTCTCTGTTGAAGATGCAGATGTTGAACCTTAAAAAAAAAAAAAGTATGTGTGCAGAAGAATAAAAAGTGTGTGTGCACTAGAGCATTGAGCTTCAGTATTTCTGCACTGGAGAGATCTCTGTTGTAGGGTTGGGGGATCATGTTTTTTTCTCTCGGAGCACATAGTTATAAGGTAATTTTATACTGCTTTGAACCTGAAATGGTTTAACAGGCATGTTACATTACACCTGAGTGCTTTAATTGTTCCTTTTTTGGGGCGGGGGGGGGATCCTGTAACAACACCTGTGAAACCCTGCAGCTTGCTTTTGCTTGTGAACTGGGACTGCAAATATTCCGGTGAAACTCCTGATGGTGCAACTGAGCCCTGGCGTGGTAGAACTTTTGTCTTGATATTCTGCAGACAACAATACAAGGAGCGTGATCTCAGGACTGTTGTTTCCTGCTAAATCGGCGAGGATGGTGAGGGTGGCCTCGCTGCAGCAAGGGTGAAGTGGTGCCGTGCCGTGGAGGTGCAGCATTTGGCTGTGAACCTCTGGGAGATGTGGATAGACACCTATGGATGCCACTAGCCCAGCAAAACACCCCAACAGCAATCAGGGAGCATATTCCCTGCCACTTCCAGTATCTCATGTGAGAAGTACTCCTAAAAAGTGAGTTATGTTATTTTATATTAAAGAATGACTCGAACGGAAACAAGTGGAATATTAGTTTTTACCACCTTGTGAAATGAGATGGACAGCCTCTGAAGGAAGACCCTCTATGTAGTGACTTACGATCCATTTTTAAGGATTTTCTGCAGTTATCTGACTTGTTTGAAAGCAGCTGTGGGATCTCCACCTCTGTCTTGATGCAGGAAGATGATGGATTTTGCTGCTCTCTGCCCAGCTTGGACCCATGCCCTCAGTTAGGCGTGTTGCCTCTTCACCATCTGCTCTTTGCCAGAGGAGCCTGGGTGGCACCTGCAGGATGATTTCTTCCTCCGAATAGCAGCAGTTAATAACATCAGCCCCTAAACTGACTCTGGCAGGTTAATGGGAATACTCCCTCCTCTTTTTCTCTCCCAGGAGGTCTCCAGCATCGCACGCTTGGCTGCGTGCCTCGGGCACTGTGTGCTCTGCTTCTCCTCTCGGGTTTGATTTGGAACTGCGTAAAGCCTCAGACGTGCTTAAAATGAAAACGGGTTTTATGTGCACAGAGCAAAAGGATTAAGGTGCAGGTACAAAATGGGAAATGTAACTATAAAACGAAGGCATTTAGAAAGCAAAGAGAAAGCAAGTTTACGCTTAAGCCCTACATGACACAAGCCTGTAGTCTTGCATAATCTTTGTGTTCAGTTTTGCTCTACCTCACCCCAGAGAGAGCTCCCCGTAGCAGGTATCTTATCTTTTTGTTGTTGTTGTTGTAAGTGATAATCCAGTACTTCTGGTTATTTGAAGGTGGATAGCCTTGGCTGTCTGGCCCCAGGGCTAGCCCATGTAGGCAGGGATGAAATGTTCACTAAATCTGGCTACTCCAGAGCTGCTCAGAGCAATATGAGTATGGGAAACCCTCTCATCACAACTCCTTTCTTGCTGCTGTCTTCAGGAGCTCTCAGTAGTACCTTTTGCTTCAGGAACAATGCTAAGGACTCTCGCTAGTTTTTGCCATTCCCATATTCTTTGCAAAACATGTTCTGGGTGCAATGTGTCTGTGCAGGAATTGTGTGGTACTTGCTAATCCTTAGCAGTCTGTCTTCCCCCCCCTTCTTTTTCTCCCTTCGTTCTCATTATAAACATTTTCTTCTATTGTGCTCTTTTTGTTAGAGTATTGCTTTTAATCAAACTGGCTTTCTTCCCCTGCTGCATTTTCTGGATTGATGTGAAACCATTGGTGGTGTATTTTGAAATATACACTATATTTCTGGTATGCTTATCTTACCGAATATCCCAGCTTCCAGCCTTCAAGAAGTTCCACGAGAGATGTAGTATTTTATAGAGACTGAAGTCTTGAACATGGGAGGTGCTCACGTGGTGTGACGTCTCGCCCAGCCCCACCACTGCAAACTGGCCAAGTGTAAGGACCCGTCACAAGCATCGCTCTGGCCCTTTGTGATTTACTTTGCTGTTTTTATCCCCCCTCTTAATCTCTGGAAGTGGAAAAATAGGAAGAATTGGGTGTAAGAACACAAGAATTAAGGCACGCACTCAGCTGCTGGAGGGAGGAGGAGATGTTCTGTGTGGCTGCTCTTCACACAGCGTGTTCTCATCTTGGCTGCCAGAACATCCATGTGGGTGAGGATCAGGCTCACAGATGGTTTTGTTGAGTGAGGCCAGAAATCAAAATCTCTGCAATTCTCTCCCATCTTCTTTTGACATTTGTTATGCATATTTTTTTGAAATAATGATGGCTGTACTTGACATTGCTGGAAGTGCCTGGTGTTTTAATTAAAAACTCAGGTTTTGAGGGGTCCATAACTCACTGTGTTAATTTGGAGAAGGCTGAAATTTGGCAGATGCTGTACCAATTTCAGGATCCAGTCTGCAGACTCTACATCTAACAGCTGTGGCAGGAGATCATATTTCCTAGCAGTAAGCTACAGTGCTCTAATTCCTTCAGTTAGTGTTCCATGTTTGGGAACTTCACTGCTGGTGACAGTGAGGCACCTTCCAAGTGGCTACTTTGTCTTTCCGGGGTCCAGAGATTTTGTGTTTGTTTTAAGGGTCTCGGCCATGGACCTCAACATGGACTGATTAGTGAATTAACTGATTCAAATTAATATTCAACAGAGTTTGGAAAAGCAAAATAAGGAAGGATTTCTATTTGATTCATTTTCTGTCATCAAGATTGCTTTTTAAATTTTTGGCCAAATCGGGAGATCCACGATCTCTTCAAAATTAACATATCCTTTCCAAAGGGAACAGTGTTGTTGCATTTGACTGGTAAAATGCAGTAGCTTGGGAAGCACATCAGGAGGAGTGAAAACAAGGTGATCCATGGTCTTTCTGTTCCAGGCTAGAAATGCACTGATAAGGGTGTTCAGTGGCAGGGGAGAGCTGAGAGTGGGGGTCAGGTTTGGTGTGTCCTGATTTCTTTCAGGTGGCTTTGATCGGTATACGAGTTTCATATTTGACTTGTCTGTGACTCCAAAGGCTTTATGTTAAGGAAATAATGCCCAGCGTGCAGACTAATCCTGTGTATACTTTGCTTTCAGATGGTCCTACCACGACTTTTTCAATAGGTATCGTGTTCTTATGAAAAAGAGAGACCTCTCCAAGAATGACAAGAAGCAGATCTGTCAGACCCTGTTGGAAGACCTCATTAAGGTGAGCTGGGACCAAATCTTTGGCAGTGATTTTTACAGCACGGAAGCTCGTGGCTTTGATATGATTGGAGTTGTTCTTCCTGCTCCTACTTCACCTGCTGCTCATGCAGGTGCTTCTTCAGCCTAGGCACCCTGGGGCTTTTTCCAAAATGAGATAGTCTCACAAGAAGGTAGCGAGAGCAAGCGTGACATGGGAATCTCATGATTGCAGTCAAGCTGAACGTACCATTTCAGTGCTGGTGAAGTCTGGAGTTTGCTATCGCTGGCTGTACATGGACAACCGGACACATTTAGAAAATTCATCCCCCCAACCCCTCCTTCTGGTTTTGGCTAGCTGTAGCTGTAGCACGTTTTAGAGGTCCAGCTTTTGACAACACCATGAACTTCAGTCAATCATTAAATGCCTCTTTGCACAAATGAGTAGAGAAAAATGCACTAAATGCCCTATCTTGACGTGTGGGAGACTTTTAATAGCAACTAATACGTAGAAAAAACATCCCGTAGATTGGGACTTTTTTTCCGTAAGCAAACAAGAAGTCTTTGCCACCTCTCCTCACCAAAACCTTACTACTCACTCATGTGCATTATTTTTAAGTTGAAAATGTGCATGCAAAGGTTTCTTGCTATTGAGCAGCCCAGAATGCGCACAGCACCTTCGCCAGGTTTTAATTTTTGATCTGTTTTCCTCATGGGATTTTGAGGAACTTACTCAGTTGGGTTCCTCTCTGCAAAAGCTGTTCTCCTTACACACCAAATGTTTCCCTTGGCTGCAGAGCCATTTGCAGTGCATGTATGACTTTGCAGATGTAAGCCTTAAAAATCTTTTCAAGAAAAATCTTTTCTTGAAGTCTTCTGGCATTGCATTGCTCTATTTAACTTTAAAGGAAAAAAAAAAAAAAAAAGAAACAAAACCCCCCAAACTAAAAACCACTCAAAATTTGTGTAAATATATGGAACTTAAGACTGAATCCGAGTGCTGTATTTCTCAATGGGTATATAGAAGCTCAAGTAGTTTGGAGTCTAATATCTTCATCACCCAATTAAGAAGAGATGCTAGCTAAGCTGATAAATTCGATTCAAAGTGGGTTTTTTAATCTGTATCTACTCAGCAACATAGACTGAAAAAAAAATATGTTTGCCTTAATTAAATTTAGTTTCCTTTATGCTTTTGAAAAGGATCCAGACAAGTTCCAGTTTGGACGTACCAAGATCTTTTTCCGTGCAGGCCAGGTGGCATATCTGGAGAAACTGCGAGCAGATAAGTTCAGAGCTGCCACAATCATGATTCAGAAGACGGTGCGGGGCTGGCTGCAGAGGGTCAAGTACAAAAGGTTGAGAAAAGCTGCAATGGTCATCCAGCGCTACACGCGTGGGCACCTGGCTCGGAGGTGGGTGCTAGGAAGCCCTCCGAGAAAGGGCTAGCTGGGAGGTCAAGTGGAAAACCACTTCTGGGCACTTGTGTTCTGAGTCAGTTCCATCTTGTAGGCCTTAGACTTGGGGGTTTCATATGAGAAACACTGAAAATGCTCTGTATGGGGCGTTGCCTTTCAGCCCTGTGAAAACAAGACCCATGTCGTGGATGTAGGTACTGTGGCAAAAATTTCTGTGCTGAAGTAAGGACTCATTCCTGGCCCCTCTCTCCAGCTTTATTTGGGGGCAAGAGATTAAAATTCTTTGTCTCAGTTTGATTTCATATCTATATTGATTTAATTTCTAGGTGCTGAGCCAGGGCTATAGCATAGGCAGCTAGGCTGTAATCACCTGACTAAAGTACTCTGAGATATTTAAGTGGAAGTGTTTCAGAGAACTAATACTTTTCTCTGACTACCTCTGGCAAGGGGCATTTAGATCAGCCAGTTATCACTTTGCTAGTTGGTATGCGCTCCTCTTCTGCAGGGACCAGGTTTGTGCCTCCTTGGTATCCAAGGGGAGTTCTCAGAATTGATTTGCTGTATCCTTTTGTAATGAGAAAAATCACTCCAAATCACTGGCAATGGGGCTATTTACAGTACTGAATAATAGAGCTCAATTAACTCTCTGTGTGCAGGAACCTCAAGCTACCTCGTGTCGGTGGCTTGCTGGGATTTCTGTAGATATGCTGCACTGGAGAGTAGGCTGCTGGTAGTGGGTGTGGGGTGGGTGTGAGGGAGCAGTAAAGCAATATAACAGCATCCCAACACACAGGTCATCTTGCATCTTGTGCCCCTTATTCAGGTCAAACACTGCCATTCTCCTGCATCTAGCCAAGGTGGCTTCGGGCACTTTGCAGATAGGAACAAGGAGTAGATTTGGGTCCTTTCAGCTTTGTTTCCCTTCTTGTTTTCTGCTTAGAGAGGCTGTAGTGCGTTAGCTACGTTGTTTGGTTTTGAGCAGCAGCGTTCTCCCTGGCTCTGAGTTAGCATCTGCCCATCAGAAGTGCTACTACTTAATCTGCAGCCCAATTAACTCTGCTTGCACTTGGGCAACACGAGATGCCGCCTGTATGCTATGAGGCTTCTGCACAGTCACTTCTTCACTCCTGATTGCTGGATGAATGTTGACTTCTATCAATTATTGAAGCAACTAAAGGCGAAGAACTTCCATGTTCCTTCCAAGGATTTCATCTAATTCATACCGTATTTTGGAAGAACATCAGAGATGCTCACTGCATTTGTGGTATTACTTGTGCTTGTGAAAAGGGATTGGCATCACAGAAGGTCTCAAATAAGCAAAGCTGGGCATTTTGTTGACTTTTAATTAAAACTGAGCACTGAGTTTTTCCTGTCCTCAGAAGTCCACATACTTCTTTAGGCTCGTGACTGCAAGTCCCTCTTGGCAGTCTTACAGCTCACTTGAAGACGAGGCAAATGAGATGTGAGCAATAAGAGGAAGGTTAAGAAAAAGGGAGAGTCGGTGATTAACTTTAGCCTCTCCGATAGGCTCTCCATGCACACCTACAGACTTGGACTCTATATATTTGACTTTGCATCAGCCAACCATCCCTCTAAGGAGGGGAGGAGGAATCCCTGGTGATGTCGAAGTGATGGGGTATGAGCTAAAAGAGAGGCTGGAAGCAGATCTGCAGAAACTACCTGCTGCAGTGTTTCTTCAACATGATTTTCACCTCTTCATGCAGGTTTCATAGGGATGGATGTCATCTGAATAACTGCTTTCTCCTCTTTTTGGAAACAGACCATCCCTTGTCCTCTTTAATAAGCTCTGGTTCAGTGGGTCCTAATGAGAAACCATCATCCTTGATGAAGAGAATATATGAGCCAATCCGATATGGCTTGTACAGTTTTGATATGCTTTTTACAAAATAAAGAAGTGGATCAAATATCTGTATAATGCTTCATGCTGAGAGCAATAAATGCATCATGAATTCAGCAAAGCAAGCTAATTATCAAATTAAATGGAGGTTTTATGGGCATTTATTAACCTGTGTAACAGCAAATTGAACATGAATTCAGCTGGAGAGTGGGAGCAACATGGCACGGAGTTGACCATGTCCCTCATAATTTACTCTCTGAATTGCTTGGGGCTCTGCTTGTGAATGTTGCCAAACCACTGCACACTGGTTTAAATGTCAAATCAATTTGCTGCCATTTTCACTGAGACGGTAGATACCCTCTGTGACACTTGGTTTTTATAGTTAGGGAAGCGATGGAGCCAACCTGGGCATTGATTGGCTCAAGTACGTAAGGCAGAGGAGTCCAAACCAAAGGAAAAGCTGGAAAATATTGTTTTTCATGCTGTTTAGGAGTAATGAGGTGTGTTGATTCCTTGTTCCAGTGCTCTCAGGTGCTGTGGATGCTGTCTGATTGCATATGTGTTCCCATTATTCTAATGGAGACATGCTATCAGCTGATCTTTTCTTAGCCCTACTGCTGGGATGGTCTTTCTTGAATACCATCAAGCTACTTTTGGACAAAAGGTTTTTCTCTCTTGTCCAGTTTAAAACTTATTACGACAGAAAGAAGGGAACTTTAGTTTTACTGCTAACCTTTTTTCTGTGCTTTGCAGACTTGCTGAGCACCTGAGGAGGACGAGAGCTGCCATCATCTTCCAGAAGCAGTACCGAATGCTGCGGATCCTCCGAGCTTTCCAGAGGGTCCGCAATGCAACCATCACCATTCAGGCTTTTGCTCGGGGCATGTTTGTCAGGAGGATTTATCGCAAGGTATGACTCCACGGAGTGTCTTTGCATTAGAAAAGAGCGGCAAGAGCCTTTATGTTTACCTCTGCTGGCATAGCATGGTGCTGTATTTATTGTGGGCATTTTGATGTTTTACAAAGCCGACAGCCGCTGGCGTTTCTGGAGAGCACACACTGATGGCGAGCATTGCCATTTAAAGTTGTACAAGCAAAAATTATTTTGGCAGCAGCACCCCAGCGGAGCAGCTAAATGAAGTTAGTCATTCAGATGCAGGAAGGCATTGTGGAAATCTGGAAATGTCATCTGATCTAACCTATACTCTGCAAAAACCTCCCTGGCAAACCGAATTTGTGTCTGAGCTGTGCTGCAGGTGCTGTTTCCAGTAGGGTAGGAAGAACAGTAGGGTCTGCCATAGAAAACATCAAGTCATTTATTGATATAAATCCCTTTTTAATTAGTTCTCTCCATTAGCTTTCTGTGTTAAACCAGGAGCTGAAAGCAAGGAAGCAAAGGTTTGATTACAGCAAGTGATACAGTGAGAAATCGTCTGTCAGGAAACCGAGAACAGCTTTGGGGAATCTTCTGTCCACTCCTCGCATCCAGCCTTCCTTTGGTAGTCACCTAAATTTATGCCTAATTGTGGTCACCAGGATACTCAAAGAAGTCAGAGGCATGATGAGCCAGGAGAGGAGAGCCTGTTCCTGGATATGATGGAGGTTACCTGGGCACCCGGTGACCCACTAGAGAGATCAGGGATGTCCTCTGAAACAGAGCAGCTGGATGCTGGTGATCAGGAATTTGTGCTGCCACTGCTTTTTCAGCATCTGTTTTTTAAATTGGAAGCCTCTGCAGGGGAGGCAGCTGGTCCAGCATTTAAACTCTGAGAATCAAGGCAACCCAAAATCTTAACAGGGTGTAGAAGTTGGCTGAAGGTCAGGCCTCTCAAATCTGAACATCCTTAATCTCTGGAGCACCTGGATATAGGTGTTGGATATAGGTGTCGGTTCAAGAGCACGCTCAGCAACAGATGCAGGGCTGCAGGTGATGCTCCATGGGGTCAGGGCATGCCCAGTGCCCACCAAGACTTTGCTGTAAGGCTGGGATAGGTCCCTGAGGCAATGCAGTAAGATTTCTTCTAGCTCTCTGGGCATCCCCAACTTTATCTGTAAGAGTGCCAAGGTTGGAGACATACAAAACTCGTTTCAGAGTAACTGGTACTGCATCCTAAGTTCACATAATCCCTTTATTCTAAATTAAAATTTGCAAGTGCAGAGAAAGCCTTAGGGTGAAACAAAAGATTTGTAAGAGAAGCTGATACGGTACCTTTTCTGATACAACTTATCCCAAACTAATAACAGCAAAGTGTCTTGTAATCTTTAAATTCTCCTGGTATTTCTTTCCTCATAATACTGCAGTATAGATCAACATGAATAAAGTTATTAACAACATGCTGGTTGTACCTCTAATACATCAGCCTTCAGTTTTAGAGGAGGGAATTCAACTGCAACCTACTGAAAAGATTGCTGTAAATTTTGGGGGAGAGATTCAATCCAAAACTGCCAGAAGTTTCACAAAAACAGATATAAGTTTCTAGAAATTGAATCATGCAAGAGGACTGGCTGCAGACTTTAGCGAAAGGACTCCAGAGTTTTATTTGAAGGTTATCCAGACGATAAGAAATCCCACCAGGACAGCATTTATCTGCAGTATAAATTATCATAATGCAGGGGTGGAACACAGAAAAAAAAATCTACAGACCTGTTCTGGTGCGAGTTATATCTGATGCTGAAGGGACAGTAAGTTTATTGGTGAGTGTTGGTGTGTCTGTTAATGGCTATTTATTCCGCTAGCTATGGAACTTGTGGATCTGAGTACTATTCTGAGGTGGTCCATGAAGTCTCTCTTGAGCCCAAATGTCCCCTGTCCCCATCGAGTTCTCTACTCACCAGACAGGATCATATCCCCTCATTTCACTGGCCAAGCAGGTCTTGACTCTTTTTAGAGAGCAGCATGGTTCCTAAGAGAGGACTGGATGTGTCCTGCCTGCATCAGTTGAGTGCAGTGGCTGGAGAAACCCCCCAGGAGAGGGGATTGAAGTACCCCTTCCCACCTATGACAGAGGATGCAAAATAACAGTCTCTATCTCCAGCCATCGCCCTTGTCCTACCAGGACACTCCTGCTTGAAGGAGAAGCCCTTTCGAAGGCAGATTGGGAAGCGTTGAGTGCCGTGTTCCAGCCAAACCAGGGCTGCTGCTACCTTTAGGGCTGACTTTTCTCCCTTGATTGTCCCATTTCTGCCCGTGTTTTGTAGATCCTCGCGGAGCATAAAGCCACCATCCTCCAGAAGTACGCTCGTGGCTGGCTGGCCCGCACTCGCTTCCGCCGGGTCAGGGGTGCCACCATCGTCCTGCAGTGCTACTATCGGCGTATGAAGGCCAGGCAGGAGCTGAAGGCGCTGAGGATCGAGGCCCGCTCAGCACAGCACCTGAAGAAGCTCAACATTGGCATGGAGAACAAGGTGGTCCAGCTTCAAAGGAAGATTGATGAGCAGGTATGTCCTGAGCTGTGCTGGGACAAGTGTGGTCCCGTTTCTGCTTTGCCTCTCTCCTGTTGTCCTTCCTAGGAAGGATTTTATCTGCCTGTGTTGTCTGGGAAGGATGTCATGGTGGTGGCAGCCTTCTGCTACTGCTGGCCAGACACTTGAAAGGGTGGGACACCACCATGGAAGTGCAGTTGCGCATGGATCTTGGGTCTCCACCTTGCTGTCTGAAGAGCTTGCTCAGTAAGCTGCAAAAGCGGCGTTGTAATTGTTGTGAGAACTGCCCAGAAGGACTTAGAGGAGGAAGATAAAATGGCAATTTTCAAAGCTGTTGCTTGATGGTCTTACTGTGACTGCTTTATCACAGAGAGGTCTTCATCAATTGCTACTTGTCATTAATGAGCTGCAGAATAATAGTTTGATTACACACTTAGGAGGGTTTTCCCACATGCTAACATGTGTGCAAGTTACTCTGATGAATGCCCTCTACGTTGCTTCCCAGTGCTGTACAAGGACTTCAGGTATGAGTATAAGAAGTGCTCAGTTAGGACCCAGTTGTATCCAGTAACATCAACAGGAAACTCATATCTACCTCTGTCCTTAAACAGCCTTATTACAGGCAGGAGAAACATTCTCTGTAAGTCAGGATACCTACTTATTTGTAGTACCAGTTGTTAGTAATTGCAGTTCATCGTTCCGTTTGGGCTGTTGTCGGGGTCCCTTATACATCACACGTGGTTTCCTTGCCGCCTTAAATCTCTCCCATCCCTGTATGACACGAGAGGTCCTGTGATGAAGATGATGAGAAATGACTGTGTTGGCTCAGATACTGCAGAGTCAAGACAGCCGGGGATTTGCATTACTGCTGGCCGCTTTCATTGCTGTATTAATTGGCTGCAAAGCGTGTACCGCAGTAGAGTCTGACTTTCAAATGTGGTGTTTGATTTTTAAATGCCTGCTTTGCATACTTAGATTTTGCAGACAAACTGTAGTTTAGGAGCAGAAAACCTTAGGCATAAGGTTTCCTCTGTATTCATATATCAGAAACCTGTTTGATATGACCCTTTATCTGGAGGGTATTTGGTGGAATTAATTAGGACAAGTCATTTCAGGTCCATGTATTTGGGCTGGGCTTGTGCAATGAGTGTGAACGTCTGCATTGAGTCTGCTGGGCTGCTGGACTTGGCAGTGGAGCAGCAGTATTCATTTTTTTTTATTTAATTTTTTTTTTTTTCCAATTCCTTGTCACTTACTGCTAGGAAAGGTGTGGAGTGGAACAATAAAAAACCCCCAATCTTTGGTTAATGTGGGCTTTCCTGTCTTGGGTTATGAAAGCAGCAGAAAGGTCTACTTTGGGGAAGGAGACATGGAGAGCTTTTAAGTAGGCAGAAATAATGGGCTGGAGCTCGTCTTGGTCTCCCTCAGTCTCTGCTCAGACTTTGATGCTTTCTGTGTAACTTTTGCAGGAAAGAATTGCTGCTCTGTATTACTCTTGGTAGTCTGTCCAGTGAGCTAATTTTAACCATCATTTCACGACTGATAGGTTTCCCTGGGATGCTTTGGAAGTGCTAATGAGCACCATTCCAGTAGACTTCCTTTTCAGTGCACTGGATTTTTTTCTGGCAGCAGTGAGTTTGTTGCATCATAGTTTCCCTGAAGTATCTTGATTTTAGTCCTTGCTAGTCTATAAACATAACCTCTCAAAATGCCAATTAACTTTTTAAGAAAAAAAAATAAAAATTGCAGGTAACCTGGAGAGCTGCAGTTGTATCATTTTCTGACTAGCCGTGGAAGAAAATGTTTCTATTTCTGCTGCGTTAGCTCATGCATGAATAGAGAGATGCAATAGTCCGTGTGCCCCTGAGGAGGAGAAGATCTTTCTTTGAAAACATTAAAGCCTATTATTGTATGTCGGCCTCAGCTCACACGCTCTAGCAGCCGTAACTGGGCCTATTTAATTCACTTTCTAAATCAGGTGAGGGATTTTTTGCATACACAAGAAAGGTTTATATCTCTTTTGCTGCAAAATATCCACACTGGACCACTTTTTTCTATCCACGTTGGACCACTTTCTTCTTTTTTTTGTTCTTTTCGGTTAAGTGAGTTGTTTTTAAATGCGTATACTGTAGCTGCCTGAGACACTTTTAAGGCTGTTACCTAATTTAGTGTTATGTGTTCATGCAGCCAACATTTAGACTCACAGTGAGCTCCCTATGCTGTCTCTGCAAGCGGCAGTATCTCTGTGAGCATTTATTGTGAATAAAACTAGTTTTGGTAACAGTAGTCATGAAGTTGTCGTCTCTGCCATTGATAGCAAAATAAACTCTAGACTGGTTTACAGAGCCTGGGTTGAAAGCAGGACTGTCACAGCTCTGCTGGGCTGGATAATGATTTAAAATAAAGGAGGTTCAAGTTTAACGGGGTCTGTTGAACAATCCAGCTGCTCTGTCATGTCTCTAGTAGCCAGTAACAAGAAAAAGCATTCCTGTGCATTTATCTTGTTTCTGGATTGAAACCTCAGTTGGCTGGTATGTAAAATCATATACATAAACCTTGGGACACAAAGCTGTGAAATTGGGGGAAGCAGCAGAGATTTGTGAACCAGAGTGATTATTGCCATCCTCTGTAAAGCTTTTCTCCCTGAATAGATCTCTTTGGAAATGGCTTTGGTCATGCAGAAATGTTAATTCCTTAATACCACATGAATGCTGAATTTCTGTGTTCACTAATAATCCATTACAAGGGAGCAAATGAAAAGGTGTTAATGTCCCTCGTTTTTCCATTTGAGATGTGTCTTAATCCTGCTTTGGAGCACTGAGACTGCAGTGAGAGAGGGGTGCTTTGGGAGGTCACCTAAAAGGGGGGCTAAAAGGATGATCAGAGCAATGGTAGAAGAAATGATCCTATGAGCCATACTGGGAATCTAAAAGAGACTGATCTGAAGTAAGGGTGGAGATTTTGGTATCCACCAACTCACCATGCGTTTGTACAGGGGCCTGTCTGGTCTGGAAGAACCTGCGTAGACCTAGAAGATATTTTTTTTTTCTTTCCCAGGCTATAAAGTTCTTTGAAAACTAACTCTGTTGTACAGAAGTTAATGAGAGCCTTTGACCCTATTACAGAGATAGATCATACTTTTTTGCATTTAAATGTTTTTCTTGCTTACTTGACTCTGGTGAACATCTTAGAGGAAGAAGTTGTATCTCGGGATCTGTGACTTCGCACCTTTACTGCTTATCCTGACCAGTCAAAAATCGTATATCAGGACTTCCCGAGTCCATTGACTTTTTAAAATGATATGTTTGTGTCTTTTAAGACTTTTGTCTTCTGGCTTCTTCATCTCAAGCTTTTCTTAGCCTCCACGTGAACTAAACAATTCTGGGTGGAAGGAACAGTTTCTTGTGAGCTGGTGTAACACTGCTGGTGACTAAAGCTCTGAGAAACAGCAAAAGGCTAAGTTGCAGATTACCAGGACACTCATCTGGTCTGGACAAGGATCTCTTGCCGAATGTTTTCCAGGAAAGACCAAAACTGGATGAAATATCCACCAAAGTCCCATTTAAGAAACAAAGCCTTTTGGATCTGTTGTACAGTGAGAGATAAGAGCCCAGATCATTAAAGCTGTATTGAAAACTTTCAAAAATGAAACTTTAAAAAACAGACTGTTTTAAATTTCAAAACAGTTGTTTTGCTCTCATGATTATCTACCTAATGTTAGCAAAGCTAAATGGTAGGCTCTTCACAACAGACCAAGAGCTTCAGTAAATTCATTGTCGTTTCTGAGGCTGGCTAATAGTGATGATGTTTTATTAGTCACAATATAGTTCCCACTGGCTTTGATTTGAATAACAAAAATTAAATGAGGCTGCTGAATTTTCAGGTCTCAAAACTTGGGAGCAAATCATTGCTAAGTGCTGTAAAAGAGAAGATCTGAGCAAATAAAGAGACGATTGAGCTGGCACATGACTTAAAGCTGGGGTTTAGGGAGCTCTTTGTGCTCGAGGCTGCAATTATGCTACAGTGCATTGTCACCCCAGGTGTTCCTGCAGGCATAGGAGTCAGGAATAAAAGGAGAAACTGCAAGCCCAATATTACAGACAAAAAAAAAAAATTGCAAACCAGTTGCATTAAGCAACATTGTATGGAAGCTGTAATAAAAGTGTGTTTTTTTTGTTTTGGTTGCTAGTGCTACCAAGCTTTGTTTGCCTTTGCTTCAAGTGTAACATCAATTTAACAAATGCTTGTATAACTTTTACCAAAATATTATTGAGCTTTTGTCACAGGTTTGAAAGTGTTTTTAGTTTTGTAAGCTTTATTAGCATATGCATGGAAATGTTTGTTATCAGAAGTTTGTTACCCACCATGCTCAAGGATTTTTAACAGTTACTTTTGTAGTGCATCAGTGCATGCATTGATCTTGCTTATGGTCTCATTTTCTTCTTCTTGGGATGTTGGCTGCAGAACAAGGAATACAAACTTCTGAACGAGCAGCTCTCTATGCTTACGTCAGCCCACTCCTCTGAAGTGGAAAAGCTGAAGAAGGAACTGGTGCAATATCAGCAGAGCCACCGGGGTGACGGCAACCAGCTTGTCAGCTTGCAAGAAGAGATGGAGCACCTCCGGCTGGAGCTTGAAAAAGCTCATGGGGAGAGGAAGGTTGTGGAAGACAGCTACGTTAAGGAGAAAGACCTACTGAGAAAGGTACGTCTGTTCGTCACGTCTCGTGTTGTGTAGGTCTCCTGCTGACGGTCATACTGGTGAAAGCTCACCCTTCATCAATCTGAAGGGGAGAGAATTTCTATCTTCAGTTAAGATTTTTTTCTTTTAGTCACTCAATGCCCCTAGAATTTGCCTTTTAACCAGGCTGTGGGGCAGCAAGGGCAGGTGAATGTCCCTGCAGGAGCAGCGACTGCCACATGGCAGGAGGATGCCCCATCTTGATGCCTTTTGCACTGCCAACCACGAAGAAACTCCCCAAACCCAGACTCGTCTGGAAATAAGGGTGCTTAATAACTGTGGATATGCCAGGGCTTCGTGTATATACAGTGATTCCTATGAGGACAGGCTGAGAGAGTTGGGGTTGTTCAGCCTGGAGAAGAGAAGGCTCTGGGGAGACCTTCCAGCAGCCTTCCAGTACCTAAAGGGGGCTACAGGAAAGATGGAGAGGGACTGTATACAAGGGCATGTAGTGATCAGACAAGGGGTAATGGATTTAAACTGAAATAGGGTAGATTTAGATTAGATATAAGGAAGAAATTGTTTACTGTGAGGGTGGTGAGGCACTGGCACAGGTTTCCCAGAGAGGCTGTGGCTGCCCCATCCCTGGCAGTGTTCAAGGCCAGCTTGGATGGGGATTGGAGCAACCTGGTCTGCTGGAAAGTGTCCCTGCCCATGGCAGGGGGGGATGGAACTAGGCGATATTTAAGGTCCCTTCCAACCCAAACCACTGTGTGATTCCTCATGGTATGTAATGCAAAATGTTGGAGAAGGCTGTTGTAGATGCTGTCAATATTAGGAAGATGTCCTTCCTCAGCCCAGCATGGTATGGGACAGGAGGGCCTGGTTTCTGCCATGCAGTCCATGGTCGTTGCAGCTGGTCCTTGAGGCTGGTGTTGTAGGTATATGCAGAGTATAACCTGTGTGGGGACCACCTTGTCCCTCCCAAGCAGAGACACTGTCCAGCACCAGTTAGGCCGGTTGTTACAAGCCTTTATAGGGTTTGGAGCTGTGATGTAGACTAAAAAAATATTTTTTTTTTCCTCCTTCAAGCAAACTCCAATGCTTTCTGAATCCCTTGAGGTGGAGGTGGTCCACCACTGCCACCATTGTACAAGAAAGTGTTCTAGTGGGAGAAAGAGACTTTAGAGCGTAGAGATATTTTGCAAATAATAAAAATTGACCTTTTACCCTGAATGTCTTTGCTGGTCAGGTTCATTCTGAATAACCTTCACACCCATTCTCACAACCTAGGGCACTAAGGTATGGGTTTAGTTTCCTGCTGCAAATGCTTGTGATTGTTCAGGTTAAATCCGTGATCTTTCTTCTCCACCAACTGTTGAAGTGGTTTCCGTGATCCTGCTATTGGAAGGAACTAAGGGCTTTTCTACTCAGTACAGTGCATAGAAAAAGCTGGTTTGCAGCTGTTACTCTAGCACTTTTTGTGTGATGGCCTGAAGACAAGTTGCTTTTGGAGATTAAAAAAAAACAAACCCAAAAGGTCTGGGATTAGCTGTGTTTTTATTACAGTGGAAGAATGCCCAGATGGTGCTCTTCTGGGGTGCTTCACCCAGCAGCACCTGCCCTGGCCAACCTCCCCCTCTGGATAAGCCCTCAGATGGTGGGTTTGGGTGAGAAGCTGTGGGGACTGTGTGGCCAGGATAACTTAATCTGAAAAACTAGCACAGCTGAAATGCCTTTTTGGGTGGGCTTCTCAAAAGGGCATTCAGCCTGTACATGTGTTGTCTCTTGGCTGGACCAAAAGCTGCCAGAAAAGCAGTTACTCAGCTCTTTCAACACATATTGCATGCACACAGGGACGTATGGAATCGGTGATTTTCTTTTCTCCAGCACCAGATATGAAGATCCTTTTTGGCACAAGGCTCGGTTCATTAGTTGGCTGCAGCGCAGGCTTTTAGAGCCTGAAAGGATGCTTTATTTTGAAGGTGATGCAGCTGGGGAAAAACTGCTTCTTTTTGTTCTTGATTGCAAATCCCCTTCAAGCACTCGGAAGAAAGGTTGATTTAATGACCAAAGAAATGCTTTCAAAAAGCAGGAAAACAAAGCAAAAGCTTTCCCTTGTTGTAGAAGTGCCTACTGCAGAGCAAATATTATGTACTTTACTGTAACAATAAATGGTTTAATTATAAAACATAGCATTTCTACTGAGCAGTGCAGGCTCCTATTTCTGACATTGGCTTTCAATTGCACCCTTCGGTTCCTTCTCAGTGGGAAGATGGAGAAGACCTGTTTCCTCCCTGGAAATGTTTGTTTAGCCAAAACACTTTCCGAGAAAAATTCAGATAGAGATTTTTGAGTAGTTCTAATAACTACCAAAAGCGTGGGGAGTGTCATGAAACTGAGTTCAGCTGAGAAGCGCTTTTCACCTTCAATATCAAGATTACACCATGGCCATGGTTGTAGTGGGAGGCATTCGCTCTGGAGATGATACCCAAAGTCATCAGACATTTCTGAGTGACACTGAGATGACAGCCTTAATTTTATTGACTTGAGCTGGGCGGCAGCTCTTGCAAATCCATATTAGTTATGATTTTGTTACTGAAAAAAAGTCCTTTAATCTCTTCCTTATAGCTTTCTCTTCGACTCCTTAATTTTAGAATAGCTCTCCTTATTCCATTTTGTGATAAAAGTTTAAGACATCACATCTGGGTGAGTACCAGCAGCTCTTCCTAGGGCTTTTGGTACCACCTAATCTTCTCACTTGGTGAGCTAGGATGATTCAAAGCCTGGCCAGGAATTTTATTAACAAAATCCTAAATGCCATCATGGTTTCCTCACAAGGTAGGGGAGGACCGGAGCCAGACCTTATGCACAGGTGCTTCCAATGTCACACCTCAAAAAAGGGCTGAACCATCACGAGTGCTCACTGCTCAACATCTTCCATAGAAATCCAGGCAGGTGCCGTTGCATTTGAAGCACCTTCAAAGATCTGTTTCCTATAGAAAGATGAGCAAGGGGTACAAAAGGTACCAGATATGGATTTTGTGCTACTTGGCTGTTGTGTAACCTGCTCCACTTGCCTCTACCTGTGTTTAATGGACTGTTTTCATTCTCACTGGGTCTCTGTTAAACCCAAATTTTGAATTCCAGCTTGTTTCTGTTTCATGTGGAAACACGAATGTGATAAAAAAGTTCAATCGCTTAAGATCACATCTTAAAGATACCTGTACCCAATCTGGATTAGAAATTTTTAAACCTGGCAATAATTGTTGCGGACTCTACCAAGTTCTAAAATATCCCCCCAGCACAGTTGGAAGTACTCCAAATTTTTGTCTAGTTTCGCTTTCCAACTGTCATAACTTTGTCCTCTGGGCAGAAGAGTTCTTTATCAGCACCTATTAAAGAGCACTAGTAAAATAATCCCATTGCCTTTAATCTTTTCCCTGAGGGGATAAACGAGTCAAGTTCCTCGCTCTCCCATTGCAGCACAGGTTTTCCTTCCCTTCTATCACTCTTGTAGCTCTTTGCCAATTTTTTAAGAATTTTTCTTAACTTAAAGACACTAGTGCTGATCTAATGGCTGCGCGTCTGCTATATTTATTTGAAGTGATGTATGAATGAAAGAATGTAGTTGGTTTTGGTACAGAGTATTAAAATCATGGCTTAGTTCAGAGCATTTAGAACACCAGTAGCTCTGCATACCTTAAACTGTGTTTTCTTCACTTCTAGTTGTATCTCCACACTCCAGCTTTCCTACTATATATAGAGATGCAGGAGATTATAGTCTCATGCAGACAGCTGGAGCAAATTAATGGATTGGAGAGTGAGGGGTGGTGGGGTCTTGTAGTTTCTGTGCGTGGGATATGACTGCTTCAGTCATGGCTTACAGTAAAATATTCGTTGTGCTTTTATCCTCACCATTAGTATGTATCTGACATATGCAGTATTTGATAAAATACCTTGATTTGAGCATGCTTGTGTAGAAGACTGAAGTCTGTGCTAGGAATGCGTGCCAGCTGGGCTGCCTATAAATTTTACCTAGTGGTGACAGCAAAATTATTGTTCTTGGGCACTGAAAACTTTTATTATGGTGTGTACAGTGTTGTTTATCTTTGACATCTTGAGATTCTTCTGCTGTGTGTAGCTGTCTTTGAAGCCATGGCTAGAGGATGCGATGAAGCAGGCACAGGGAATGACATTACGCTGGGATGATGTGTCAGTTTGTTCTCCTGCCTGACAGCAGCGGAATCATCCTGCTTAACCATAGCAGCATATTTCACTTGATAATGTGATGTTTTTGTGTTTTGAGATAACGCTGTTGAATGCATCAAAATTCCTGAGGATGAACAAAATTACAGGATGGGTTGCTGCCAGCGTCAGTCCAGCCTTCTTGTTGTGACAAGTGGCCTTGCTTCCCTTTATTTTTAAGAAAGGGGTAGTTAAAAAAAAAAAACAAAACAAAACAAAACAAACTATTTTGCAGGATTTAGTTTGTTTTCATTAATTTTTGCTAGGCAATCCTTGGTGTTAATTGCTATATATCCTTCTGTTGTATTACGAAAGGCCCTGGTACTAGAGGTTCCGCAGTAGTGTGAAGCATTAAAGGGATTATAACCTTCCTACATGAAGTAAGACACATGAAGTTAAAAAAGCCTGAACTATTTAGTATTATTGCTCACATTCACTGCGTCCATCTTTACTTAAGCGCCACATTGCTTGAAACAATCAGGGAGATTTTTTTTTCCCCAGCAGAAGTCAGTGCTAAGACTTGAAGATAGTGATGAAGCCCATCGAGATGTGGAGATAAACCTCTGATCTGATGACCTGATCACTTGTAGGAGTTTCACTCCTGCAGATCATGGTCACCAAGTCCAGCTGCTCAGTATTTTGTAAGATTCTGCTGAAAACATTAATTTAAGGGAGAAATGCACTCAGGAAAATAAAAGTTAGCCTCTGTTGTTGCAGTGCCATTCTCCAATGCTTCAACTCCTGATGTACAAAGGATAACTGACAAAGCACAAGGGGATAGATCTTTTAAACAGCAAAGAAAGCCTGAACAAAGCTCCCTGTCTCCAGCCAGGTGAAATGTAATCCCTCTGCAGAGGCTCTGACCTGCAGCAAGCAGTAATTCTTTGCCTTGTTTCATAGCGCATATCCGACTTGGAAGAAGAAAATGCTCTCCTGAAGCAGGAAAAAGAGGAGCTTAACAGCAGGATCCTGTGTCAATCTGAAGGTAAGAAAAAATGCTTATAGCATCATAATGTCTCCTCTAAATGAGGAATTTAGCTGTTTTCGCCTGTAACTTGTTTTTCCTGTGTGCTTTTCCTACCTTGAAAGGTACTAATCTTCCCGCAACCCTTTTGTGGCGGTTTTTGTCATTATTTTGTTGTGCAGGTAGTCCTGTTCATGCTGTCCTGCTGGTGGATGGCAAGACAGAGGCTGGTTTAGTTGGTGAAATAAGGCATAAAGTACCTAAAAGGGCTTTTTAATTCAATTATGTTGCAGCATTTACTGCAGGTGATGTGGGAGGCAGTGAGGCTGCCAGGAGTGGAGGGTAGAGAATAACAGCGCCCCAAGATTGATGAATAAAGGATCCAAGGAAGAGCACAGTTAACGATACTAAGCTGTGACAAAGGATTTCTCTAATGTGACAGGAGTCTGTGAGTGTTTTTTAAAGCAGGGACTTAGATGGCGAAAGGAGGAAAGCAATCTGGGAAAATCCCAAGCCACCAAAGAAACTATCATGTGTCTATTGAGCTTTTTTATTTTTTATCATCCTTTTCAGCTTTGACTTTGTTGCAGGATTTACAAATACCATCACGCATCATTCTGTGGATGTATCTATTACTGCTACGTGGTACTCATGAAGTACCTCTTGCTCTCAGCCCAATGCAGAATAAAAGAATGGAAATAACATGCTAAAAAGAAACTTGCTGCAAATATTTCTTAATCTCTTATGGGATACTTTTGGAGCATTGAAGCTTGGGGAAAGCAAGTGGAGGGGTTTTGTTTGGTGTTCACCCATTTAAAAGGACACATGGACTATATTTGCCTGGTTTCTCAAAAAGGGGAGGGACCAGATTTGCTTCTGAAAGGCAGTTCTTAACCAAAAAAAAAAAAAAAAAAAAAAAGAATTTCTTTGGATATAAAATACTTTCAACCCCCACAATCTTACCATGGTAAATGGTTGATGATGGCAAGAGAAAGAGATGCTGCTGTTGATTTGCTCCTATGCCAAATCTGGTGGTGGGAAGCAGGCAGAGAAGTCTTTAAATGCAACGAGTACCAAAGGCACTTCTTAAACATGAATGTATTTCCATACTGTGTTGGTCTTTTCTTAAGTGGGTTTATGGCTGGCTCATGGGAGCTGGAGCTGTCACAGCTGAGTTAAGCATAATAGATCTGATGGTTTGTAGGTGCTGGAGAGTTTTCTTTAACTCAAATGACAGAGGACTGTGCTCTCCGAGCAGAAGAGCTCAAGCTATTCCAAATGGCAAGGAGACAGCTCTAGATTATAATAGTCTCTAAATATTAGAGAATGCTTATACGTATTTTAAAGGTTCTTGGCAGGGAGCATTTTGTTAATTACTCAATGTTACTGCACATATTTACAAGAAGTTCATTTTGGAGATGAAGATTACAATTTCTTTTCTTTTTCTTTTTTTTTCTTATTTTAAAGATGAATTTGCACGAAACACAGTTGAGGAAAATATCCAGATGAAGAAAGAGCTGGAAGAAGAGAGGTCTCGTTATCAGAACCTGGTAAAAGAGTATTCGAGGCTGGAGCAGAGATATGACAACTTGCGGGATGAAATGACTATTATAAAGGTAACAAAACTGAAATTATCCCTATTCTATGGTGGCTGGATAACATGGCTCACTCATTCCCAAAACACTTAATAGAACTGACATTATTGTGCAGTTTGTGCTTTATGTTTCTAAGACTGAACTTCTACACTGAAGCTGAACCATATGTGTGCCTTGAAAAAAAGAGCCTGATCTTTCACGCTTCTCTGTTAACTGCATAGAGACATCTGTGAATCTCAGCAAAAGCTGGTTCATGCTTCTTGTTTTGCTTTTTGTTTCAGTGGTGTTCATGTGTAGGTGTTGGGTTATAAAACAAAAAAAAAAAACCACCACCACCCCTCTGCCCCAACCCCAACAACATGACTTCAGAATTTCAAAAGCCAAAGTTTTTAGCTTCAGCTTTGCTAAAGTGCTAGAAGAACTGTTGAAAATTAGATAATAATTAGAGTGATGCTGGATTAGGTGGAAGGTTGAGCGTTTAAAGGGAGCCCTGGAGGGTGCTGTGAACAGCATAATTTTGAGCTCAGATTCGCATGTTCGCACTTCACGGGCATCTGGTGTCATGAAAAGCCTTTAATTCATGCAGAATTTTTAAACTGAGCTTCTGTATCACTTCACGTTTTATTTTAAACTATTCCCCTGGGTTAATATGAAAGTTATGGCAGGGCATAAGAACTAGAAAATGGAATCTGCTATAAGGGGACAGCCCTTTTGTAAAGGTAACCTTAATATATAGATATATATTTGCTCTAAGAAACAATGCTTCATGAAGAATCCTTCCTTAAACATTGAATGTATTATGTATCTGCATCGCTCCTTGGCAGCAAGCACCAGGGCACAGGAGAAACCCATCCAACCAGAGCAGTTTGGAGTCGGATTCCAATTATCCATCCATATCAACCTCTGAGATAGGAGACACCGAGGATGTAATACAACAAGTGGAGGTACAGTAAATCGGGCAGGCTCGAGGGGAGGAGAGCCCTGCTCCGTGGGGATGATTGATGTGGGTCTGGGAGCACGTAGAAGGAATGCAGGTTGGACTATAAAGTGTGAGGGATTAAACTGATTTCATGCTACCGAAATACCTTGTTAATTGTGTGAAAGGGATCGCAGGGCTGCGGTCTTCTGGCAAATGCTTACTCGTTTGTAGGGTCAGACTTAAATAGGGCTCTAAATATAATTAAATGTTGTCTTTTGGCCATACCAGCTTAAAGACTGATGAAAATTCATCAAAGTGGTCAGCATTGTTACATGTAGGTATTCCTAGCACCAATGGCAATGACCGTGTAGCAATCCTTCTCCGCAAGGATATGAGTTCGTTACCCCCTTGCCCTGAGCGTTTTCATTCCAATGCATCTTTACAGGTGATTTGCTGGCCGGCACAGCCCCTGTAATCAACAGTCTCTTAATGGAGAAAAGAGCAGCATAAATTATTCCCTGGCTATCAAGAATCGCGTGAAAAAGGGAAATGCTGTAATATAAAATATTCTAGGTGAAGCCAATTAAAAAACAACTAATAAATATTTGGCTGGAAGGGATTCATTAGGGCATTTTTTAATGTTCTTAGCTGTGGCTCCAATCAGCCCGCTTACCTATTGGGCTGTTAAGCATTCAATGATTTATTAAAATGAGTCAACTGCTTATTGACATTAAAAATAGGTGCTTAAAATGGGAGTTTGGTCTCTGAAGGTACTTGCCTTTCTTGGGATCCTCCTGTTACTGGCTGTGGCTGGGGTCGGTGCTGATGTACTGTCACAGCACTGTGCGTGGTTATAAAACCTGACTGAGGTCTTCTCCTTTTTCTACTCCCCGGTTCTTCTCCAGGAGGTCGGGATGGAGAAAGCCGCCATGGATATGACCCTCTTCCTAAAGCTACAGAAGCGAGTGAGGGAGCTTGAGCAGGAGAGGAAGAAGCTGCAAACCCAGCTGGAGAAAAAGGAGCAAGAGAGCAAGAAATCCCAGGTCAGAGATGTCTTTTCATTGATACTAATGTTTCATGTTGGTAACTGACTTTCCTTGGTTGCCGGAGGACACACGATGTAGGAATTGAGGTTTGAGAGTGACAAGTTCAAGTTAAGAGACAGCAAATCCATCTGGGAAATGGAGAGAAACCTTTTTGGCAGCTAAGGACAATTGGACAGGAGAACTGGGGTTTTTTTATTTATTTATATATTTTTTTTAAACTGATTATAACAGATTTAGGATAGTATCTTAAGTATCTTGAAAGCAATGAAACATAGAATCAATTTTGGAGCATTTTATTCTGCCTGCATTGATCCAGTTTCCTTCTCTTGAGAAATCTGAAGTGTGGACTGAGTTTTGTTAGTGAAGGTCAGAACGAGGAAGGGGTACATGAGTATTTGGAGGATTGCAGATGGATGTGATGCTGCACCTTTCGGCTGGATCAAACCTAGAGGCATGTCAATGCTCGGGAACTGTGAAGAGAAAGGCCCTGGTACCCCACATCTCCACATGTCTTTTGGTTGATTTGGGTTATTCAAGCGCTGCTTTGCAGTCCTGGTGTCCGCCCATACAGCAGTGTGTGGTGTGAGCTGATAAGCACTTCACAGACGTGTCAGTCACGCTTGTGTCCTCAGTTTGATATTGTTATAATCTGCGTGGTTTGGGTTTTTTCCCCAGTAATGATCATATAAGAATGTAGCCTAAAAAATGGTATAGTAAGTCAGAAATAGCAAGGTAGCTGTTAGAAGAATGGGTTCTTCCTTTTCTCTGTATTGCAGGGCAGGGATATTCCTTTGATATATTCTTTCTTCCTTGTGAGAAAACATCTTCCTACAGTTTGGGTGGTTTGCTTGGAAGTCATTGAAAAAAAAAAAAAAAAATCTAGATTACTGACAGACCAGTAGTAACTTAAAGAGTTGGTCCTGACTTGCAACTGGAATCTGAAAATACAGCGCACTCTAGCTGCCAGTGAGCTGATGTTCGGCGTAGGGGGCTTTTAATAGCAGATCTGTTGTATGTGTTTTACTCGAGGCTTTGTGGCTTGTTCAGAGGCCAGAGCGCGGGAGACGATGCATGCCATGAAACACCAGTGCTGTGTGCGTGGTGTCGTGAAGCAGCAAAGATGCTCTTGGATAAAATGCTGAGCAAATGCCATCACTTGGTTTCGTATGTGAAATTTCTGGGGCTGTTGTTGCTTTGTTTGGGAATTATTTTGTTCATTTGTCTCCAGTGTGAGATCAGTGTCTGTTGACAAATGCAATAAGAGACTCAACAAAATAATCCACAGTAATTATTTATTTGCTTCACCAGATATTCTTACTGATCACCTCTAGCAATTTGCAGGAAATACATGGAACAGCAAACTTCCCCAGCCTCTCATCCTTGCTACAGAGGCAGATTAAAAACCTGCTTCCCAACCGCTATGTTGAAGATTGTTCTCCTAATGACTGTCATTGTTTGAAAGCTGCAGTGAGCCACAGTTGTCAAGATATTAATGAGAGATTAAACCATTTCCTCCTGAAGCAGTCCCTGCCCTGCTACGTGTTGCTGGGACTCCGTCTAATGCCAATTAATAACATTATTATGGTTGAGTTGGCTGGCAGGGTTGGCTGTTGATGGAGGTGTACCTAGCCATCCTGTACCATGTGCCAGTTCATCTGGCTGCTTTTAAATACTAATTAATCTCTTTAATCCATGCAGGTAATTGAAACAAAGACTGAAGTGACTTCAGACCACGAAGATTTTGCATACAACAGTCTGAAGGTGAGTGAGGACTTCCCACTTAGTGCTGTAATCTATTGCATGGCTCCAACAGCCCAAACAAATTGTCTGAATGTGGTAATAACCCAAAACCTCCTGTAATCGGCTCTAATGATTAGAGATGGCAGTTGGAAAGCTGTAGCTCCCCATTGGCTCCTGGGCCTGGGGAGGGCTCACAGATGTTTCTCTCTGGGGCAACATCTGTTCTGCACTGGGCTATCTGTTTTTGAGTCACCCATAGCAGTAACAAGCCCACTTATGGTGAAGGGTGCTTTTTCTACTGCACATATTCCCTCTGGGACTTTCTTGGGTTTCCTTTGACATGACACTACAGGTCTCAGCAGTTTGCTCTGCAGTAGGTGTGAATTCTCATGGCTGAAGCCCAATGTATTTCTTGTTTCAGGCTCCAACTCTGCTTGTCCGCTTTCCTTGCATTCCCAAGGAGCCATTTGGGTCAAAACCAAATAAATCTGCTGCGTGGATTGCAGTAATAGCCTCTACCTCTCAGCGGCAGTGCTGGCTGAGCATAGTCACCCTGTGTCTTCCCAGCTATTGCCCTACCCTGCAATTCATCTTGTCCTCAAGCTCTAAATCCTTACAGTTTTCCCTCCATCATTTTCTCCCTATGATATACAGATTGACCGAAACCTGTTAGACTCCTGTCACGGCTTGTGTGGATTGTGTCCTCCTGCTTTAACTGTACCCAACTACTTCTGGTCTTGACTGTTGGGCCAGTTCTTATGTCCTGTTCATCCTTGGAAAACCTATTTCTGGGATAGGCTTTGTAAGGAGGTTTTTGTTTGTTTGCTTTGGGTTTTGGTAGTGGAGACCTACGTTTCAGATGCTCCTTCTCTCCCTGTCACCTTAACAAATATCACAATACAGCTGAGAAATCCAGAGGAATATATGTTAGCCAGGATAACATCATACTAAACCATCTGACAGTAGTAATACCTATTTTTTGCTATCACAAAATATCTTGAGTTGGAAGGGAACCGTAAGGGTAATCATCATCTCCTCAGAAGGATGCAAAAAAGCAGAAATTAGAGTCAGAAAGTGTGTATGTTCAACCCTCAATAAGAGCATACCTCTAGCAGTAGCTTTTTCTGGCACTTCATCCAGCTAGTTTTTTAGTCTCTAAGCACAATATTTTTGTTGTACTTGCTAGACAAGGTCTTTGTGATTGAGGGAAACCCTGCTGAGTTTCATTAGTACCTCTGCACAGCCCATTGGAGTAGAAGCATGGCAGGAGCTTTAAGATCATTGCCCAAGTATCTTCCAGTTGGTTAAACATGGGTATGGAAGTTTTAAGCTTCTTGACCTTGTAAGGCAAAGTGAAGTTGCAGTTTGGAAGGGGAAAACCCAGCAGATGAGAACTGCCACCTTCTTAAATGGCTGCTGCAGTTCTGACTTCTGTGTAAGTTAAAAAATTGTGTTTTCTTCAAGTTTGAACCCAGGAATTTCAGGATGGAAATATTAATTTTGGATTTTCCTACTTTCTACGTTTGTAACATACGTATTCCTACATATCTAACAGGCCTTAATAACTCTCTATTAACACGATTTCATAAGAATAGGTAGCACGTGTTGCAAAAAAAGCAGGGTTATTTAACCTTTAGCCTAAGATATAGGTGGAAAATTAACTTGCAAGGAAACACATCTCAGAGTTAGTTTTTAGTGGCATTGCACTAAAACAAGAGTTTCTCTTTAAGGATTTTCCAGCACGAGGTTCTTGCTGGAGTTGCAGGAAAATGAGCTGAGAGTTGCAACAAGGAACAACCAGGTCTTTAACTTGCTTGCTTTAACGCAGTGCAGGCCAGCACGGACCAGCTGTAGCACATGATATTTTGGGTACTGGCATGTTGGGTGAATGTCATTCCAGGAAGAGCTGGAGGTCCTTGTGAAAGCGAAGGAGCAATTGCTTCAAATGCCATACTGAGAGGCAACTCTTAGTCCTAAAGGAAGGGATTTTGTGTTCCCTATGGGTGGGTTGGCCTGAGAGGAACCACTGAAAAGGAGAGAGAAATACAGCACACTGGTGTTTTCCCCACTTCTGAATATAGGACACTGTCTAAAGTCTCCATCTGCAGTGAAAGAGTGACTTAATGCTGATTTTGAGTGCTGCTTTTCCCTCTTTCCACATGACAGCTGCTTCTGTGACTATAACAAAGTTCCTCTTCTCTCTATTTCTCCTGCAAATTTGTATCTCAAATATTTATACAGTCTCTGGCTCCTTCAAGAGTCTTGTGTTACTAGATTTATTTTTCCTTTTTGCCAGCTTAAAAAGTCTTTATCTTGAAGAACTAGGCGGAGGTGTCTAAAAGCTTACACACAGCAAACTCTTCCTGTGGATGCTCTTGAATGGTCCATGAGATACCAGCTGATGGAGGAGGAAGGGATGTTGGCTTTGATGCACCACTGATGCACTATCTTCTGGAAACTCAGACTCCTTAGCCAGTTTAGAAAGGTTTTGGAAGGTTTTAGAAAGGTGGCTGCAGTGTCTCTTCAGAAACCAGTGTATTTCCCTGAAATGAATATGAATTTTGACCTAGGTGAGGTGTGAAGACTGTTACTGGTGCAGCTGAACAGCTCATTGTGGTGTAGGAGTGTTGCACTGGGTGGGGGAAGAGATGCTTGGTTAAGGTCATGAATGACTCGGGGTATGGTTTGGATAAATCTAAGTATAAATCTATAAATACAATAAGCAGTACAGATGTAAATATATTTATTTTAAAATAATGCATACAAATATCGGTTTGCGTAAATGTAATAAATATCGTTATTGCTGAAGAGCAGGTTTTGTTGGGGGTTAAGGATGTTTCTGGGTCTTGTTCAGTGCTTTGTGACCTGAGTCATCACTGCATTCTGTTCACTTTTGGGTCCCATTCAAGATATTTTTGATGTGCACAGCGCCTCGAGCGGGACGATACAAGGTGTGGGTGTTAGTGGGTGGCCGTGCAGGCTTGGTTTTTGCAACCAGCACATGGTCTGCTACTTCATAGGTGTCTACTGTCATCTAGCTTTGTGCCTAGGTCTAATTGTCCTGTATTGTCATTGCACCCATGACAGCAGGGATTTGCCTTTGGGATTAGCTTTTGGTGGGGAGCCTGTTCTTGGTGCAGATTTTGATGGAGGGAAGTGAGTGAGGCACAGTCCTTCCTTAGAGAGGCTCATTTGGATAAGGGTTGGTTGTTTCTTTTTGTAACGCTGCAAAGAAATGTGAGAAACTTGGGCTAACACTGATATATTTACATCAGGCATAAATTATGCATCCTTTGTAATGGATAAATGGAGTTTTCAGTAGATGCTGTCCCAAAATATGCCCAGCCAGGTGTATGCTTAGCCATGAAGCAGGGCTGGAGGGATGTGAAACATCTCCCTGGTGGGAGATACGTCCCTGAGCCATGCTTGCACAACAAAAAGTTCCCCAGTGAAAAATGTATTTTTCCAGCTTGTTTTTTCAGGCTGGGCGAGTGGGAGTGGGAGTGAAAGCAGCAAGGAGTCCTTGCCCTGACTTTGTGTTCCTAGCAGGAGCACAATGCATGATTTGATTTCTTGCTCTTTGCATAGCTGGGATGTTTGTTTCATCCCTTAGCCTTGGCAGCTCATTATAAAATGAGCTTCTAGAGGATTTTATTTTCTTTTCCTATCGAGAACCAAAAATAGAAAAGAGGGCAAATTCCTGGCATGGCAGTGCTAACCTCTGATTTACACAAGCTCATGCTTCACCCAGCACTGCTATATAAGCCCCTTCCTAAAGAGTGAGTCTATTTCCATCACCGTTAGTGCTTGGGTACCCCTTTCACACCTCCATAATTCTGTACATGTTGGGACAAGTGCAAGTTCAAGTTTAGGATCTTCTGACGGGATAACTTGTCAAATAAATCAGTGCTATTGGACTATGCTGAAGAAAGAGCGTTTCTGACAGGGCAAGTAGAACTCTCCCTTTCCGCATTCAAAGCATTTTATTTTAGCTTCTGCTCTGCCATCACTGATGCTGGTGCAAAAAGGGTGTACGGGCAGGGGACAATAGGCATCTCACCCATGTCTATAGATATTTTAACATTGCTTCATGCCCAAAATCCACCAAGAAGGATTAGGGAATTAATTTAATTGTAAACTCTGAAAGGAGTCCAGGGCTTGAGCTCTTGGAGTGGGGTTGTTGGTTATAACTTTCTTTCCTGATCTTCCTGGCTTTGTTTCTAATCAGAGCACAGGTTGGTACGACCAGTCCCTGGAGTTAGCAGTGTGGCTGACCCATTTTAAAAAAAAAAAAAAAAAAAAAAAAAAAAAGGGGAAAAAAAAAAAGGGGGAAAAAAAAAAAGGGGGGGGGGCAGAGGGGAGAAAAGCAGGGGTCTTACCCAGCAAATAACAAAAATCTCAGAAGAGCCACTTCTGCAGAAAAGCACTTAATTGCTTTCTTCTTACCCTTCACCTGTCTCTGAGCATGATCAGAAAAGAGCGGAAAGAAAGTCAATGCTTCAGCCACAGGGCAAGAAGAGTTAAACCCAGTTTGGTATTGATTCCCCACTGCGTGCACTCTTTTCAAACTCCTGTTGTACAAAACAGCTACAGAAAAGCCAGTGTCTCATACACTCCCTCTGCTGAGCTGTGGTTAACGTGGATGTGGAGGAATTGCTGGATCTAATGCATTTCTTATTCTTTTTTTTTTTTTAATAATGAGAGATGGTATAAAGTACCTGAATATGCTCCATTAGTGATGGTGTTTGTTCAGCTAGGAGTTTGCTGGCTGTCCAGATGCCAGATCAGCTATTCTGTTCACACCTCGGCTGTGATAAGGCATGCTATTTATAATTTGTAAGGATTTATAATTACAACACCCGTTTCCTATGGAAACGAGGTTTACACAGCTGTGCTAGCTACACGCTGTATAAATTGTATAAATTGCCCCCATCCCCCCCAGCCATTTTCGGGTTCATTAGTTTGCATCAGCTAAAGCTGATAATGAAGCAGATATCCCATGGATAAGAGGGATCGTAAAAGAAAGCTGTGGAAAGGGTCAAAAGGTAGTGGGGAGAAGGAAGCGCCTGGATCTCAGCGGGGGAAAGAGCTTGTGCTATTGTAGACACCAGAGAATCCACAGGGATGGAGGTTAGTCCCTAGGAAAGAGCTGACCCCAAATCAGTCAGACACCAGACTCTGTCAGCTCGCTTGCAGGCATCTCTGGTTTTGCTGTGCAATGGCTGGATGGTGTTCCCATTGGGTTTCGGTGTTGTCTGGGCGCATATGGACAGGAGGGAGCAGTCCTGGGTGCCACCACACGGCAGCTGGTGATGGAGAATCTGGTGCAAAGAGAAGGTGGGCTGTTGGGATTTGGGCTGTGAGCAGGACCCTGGGGGGTCCTGGCAAGGACTGCCCCATCCACAGGAGCAAAGCTGCTCTTGACCCAGCTGGGATGCTCCAGGTGGGTTTTGGGTGCTGGCGGAGAGCTGCCAAATGTGGCGTTACAAGCTACTTCATGGTGAAATACTGAAATAAAGGCTTTCTTACCTGCCAGAGTTTTATTCTTCTGTCTTCTACTGTCATGCAAAAGCAAACAAGCCCTTCGGTTGTCTTGGCGAACATGGCAGTGCTCGTGCATTGTTATTCAGGAGAAGCAGTTGGTGTCAAACTTGTTTGGTATTGCCCCTGCCTTCAAATGCCAGCAGCTGACGAGATGTCAGGGTGAGAAAATCCTCCAACTGCAAAAAAAAAAGAAAAGAAGCCGTAGTGGGAATTCACAAAGCCATAGCTCACCTAATGGGCTGCCTGCCATGATGAAGGGTCATGTAAATCAGCATCTTCCAGCTTATCTAATGAATATGAAAGATGAGCTAAACATTGTGGGGTTTGTAGTGATTTCTTGATTGAGAAGGAAAAGGGGTGGAGAAGAAACAAAAGTGTTTGGCTTCTCTAACGGCTTGCTTTTGTGTTTAAAAATAGTGTTAACAAATAAAAACTCTCCCCTGTGTCACCCTGTAGTGTTGCTATTAAATAGCAACAGGCTACTGATTACTCAAAAATCTTTTCTGAACAACACATGGCTGGACTGGCAGCAAAATACAGATTCTGGCGTGAATTGATTGTTTGGCTGTGATAATCAGTAATCAAGTTACCTTAGAGGCATCTTGGAAAAGGATGAGGCACTGCAAGACAGCTTATCTAAACTGCTTAATGGCTCGGTATTTTCCAGAGGCAAGAGCTGGAGTCGGAGAACAAGAAGCTGAAAAATGACCTTAATGAGCTGAGGAAGGCTATCGCAGACCGAGCAACCCAGAACAACTCATCCAACGATATTCAAGACAGTTATAACCTCTTACTGAATCAGCTGAAATCGGCCAGCGAGGAGTTGGAAGTGCGGAAGGAAGAGGTGCTCATCCTGAGGACACAGATTATGAAGGCAGCCCAGCAAAAAGAGACGGGGAAAAACATGGTAATTGAGAGGGTAATGGATTTTCTTTTCCTTTTCCCGTTCTGTTGCTGTAAATTCACTGACTGCCTGAGCGATGCCATTTCTGCTTTGGTAGGCTCTGGGTGGCAGGATGGTGTGGGGAGGTTATAGGAGATTCTGCCTATGAATAAGATATAGTCCATTACATCATTTGAGGCAGCCCAGGACTGTACATCCCGTGGTGGTCCATACTGCTGTAAGGTGCTTGACCTCATACCCAATGAGGTCTAGCCAGCTCACACCAAGGAGCAACTTCTCCAGCGCTGCACCAAGGTGTGGTGGTCTGAGATGTTCCTAGTGATGGTTTGTTACAAATGGCTTATTCTGTAAGGAAATGGGATGGGGAGAAAGAGCTTCTGGACCAGGTTCTCCTCACTTGATGCTGGTGCAACAGTAATGTGTTTGTACTGGTGTGTAGGCAAGAAGAGAGCCTGTCCCATCACAGTCATTTGAGGGGTTTTTGTTCAGAGCCTGTGCTGATGGAAGAGTACATTTTCTGAAAACTCTCATTTGGGCTTTTTAATTCACTACCTTGGGGTTTTGGTATGGTTTGTATTTCAGACCGCCCCCCTGGCCCTTATCTCCCTCCCAGGTTCACTGCATCCTCCTTCCATCTCCTAATGTCTGCTGCTGTCTGTTTGCATGCGTATGAATTCCTAGAAACTCTCTAGTCTGATGGATGCCCTGAGGAGGCTCTCTTATGGATGGTTGGGAGTTGTTTGGTATCAGGAACTTTGAAAGACAGGAAGAGATGTGCAGGATGTCATGCTGCTGTGTTTTGCATGTTGTATTTAGGAAAGCATCACTACCAATGCCAGCTGGCCGAACAGTGACAAGCACATTGATCAGGAGGACGCGATTGAAGCCTACCAGGGGATGTGCGAGACGAACCGGTAAGTGTGGCCCAAATTTTTCCAGCAGCAGGAGGGGCTGACCAAAGTGTAAGAAATGAGATCCCCACCAAAATTAACAACATGGTTCAGAGAGTTACCAACTTCTGGATTGTGATCTGGACCTTGGGTCAAGGATGGGCCATAAAGATGGAGTCAAAGATGCATGTCTTGGAACATCAGGACCAGCGTTTGTCTTTTTTCAATTTGTTGCCATTGAATATTTCCTTTCCTGAAGTGAACTTGCTGAAGAAATTTCTGCCCTTCCTGCAGTAGTGAGACAAGGGGAGTCAAGAGGTGATAAGATTGATTTAAACATCACCTTTTTGTCAGTAAATCAATGGGGCTCAGCGTGTTTCCTTCTGCAAGGTGTGTTTTTTGGTCACTTAATGAATTCTGTGGATTTTCTCTTACTTCCTTTCAACTTTCTCCTGGAGTGTGGGCAATGGTATAGGATGTAAAATCCCATTGTCAGGCACAGCTTTACTCCCTAAACTGCATTTTCCAGCTTGCACATGTAAGGATGGTTAGTTTGTGTTCAGGTGTTGGTGAAGGAGTTGGGAGTCAAAGTATGAGTTGCTGCTTTCCAAGGGCATGCGTCTGACCAGGTCGTATCACTGGTTCCCAGTAGTAATCGATATTTGGCCATCCTGGAGTGCGTGTTGTCCACTTTCACTCAGCCTGCTGGGACACTCCGGTCCTTCTTCAGCCTTTCTGGTTTCCAGACTTAACAACTTTGCAGGGAGGATTGAATCAAACACAGAAATAATGAAGAATGCTGCAATGAGCTAGTTTTCCACAGTGTATCAATCTCTTTCCTTGCCATTGCACAGGTGAGCTGCAGTTTAAGGAGTTCATGTGATCAGGCCTTGGTGGTTTTTGGCCTCTTGAGATTTGGGAGGGGAAATCTGCAGTCTCCAGGCTCAGTTTCCTATTACCTCTCTCGTCTACCTCTCATATGAAGCTTGGCTGGAGCTTGTCTCTTGTACTACAATAGCAGTAGCTCTATAAACTATCACCCTGATTTTCAGCAGTTATTTATCTAATGGCTCGTTAATCACGACCAGCTTCCCGGTTATATGGTTCCCTGTGCATTTGTTTGTATATTGGGTTGGTTTATAAACTGTAGGCTGGAGTCAATGGCAATAAAACAGATGAAAACAAATGCTCGGGGAGCATTGGATTATTGTATTTGTGGATATAAATCAACATTCCCTCCCCCCCAGTATAAATTTGCATTCGTACTTACTCAGCTCTGTACCTAAGTGTGTCAGCATGAGAAATAAAAATGCTTTCTAATCTTGATCAATAAATACTTTAATGGAAAGCTTTTCTGGTGGGATTGCAATTCTGAAATGGGATTAATAAGCAAGAGCCACTTTTTCTTCCACCTATGCTGCAAGAAGCACTCCCATTTCTCTTTACTCTGATACCTCTCATTCTGTGGGCAGTTTCTAACGGAGTTGGATGCTCTTCCACTGGTCCAGTCTGACCGATGTGGTAAAGCCATGGTACACCCATGGGTCACTCCTAGCTTGAAGTCATCATGTCTTAGCTGCTTAGGCTGGGGGCGGAGCATGGCTTTATTTTGGTGGGAGATAGACCTTTTATTCACTCTGTGTCTGTATAATCCAGGACTTTTAAATACAGCAGGAGGAAAACAGGAAAAACTGCCAGGTGCTGCTAACCCTGCCCACATAGCGATCCTCTTTCTCCACACTGTTCTTGGGACAAGGCCCTTTGATGCCAGGTCAAGGGGAAATTTGAATTATAAATGCAGTGAACTCAGCTTTTTTTTCCTTTTCCTCCCCCCCCCCGCCTTGCTGACTTTCAGCTGCTAAAGGGAAAAGCATCAAGTTAGTTTCCAGCTAATTTTCTGCTTCAGTAACTGAATGTAAAGCTAGGTAGGCTCTTTGTTCCCTGTTTCAGTTCTTGGGATCTTTCTTTCAAGCCTGTTTGATCTTGGTGGAAATGTAGAGCCAACAAAAGACCAGGTGATGATGTTAGAGATAATAACCTGGCAGCTCAAAGCACATCAGGCTTAGTCTTTGAAATTAACTTCTGTGATTAACTTCCAAGTGATTTCTGTAGAGTATGTGGCTTTTTTTTCTGCTGGGTAAGTCCCACCTGCAGCTGCGAGTGTTAAGTGAAGGGCTGATGCTGGCTTCATGTGGAGGATGCTTTTGCAGCTGGAAGAGGCCATCACAAGGAAAAGGTTCATATCTCTCCTTACCACTCTCCAATGTGTCTCTTCTTATCACTGCTTTCCACTCTGTCGTATATCTAATCTGTGATGTGCATTAGTTTTCCATTTAATTAAAAAAAAAAAAAAGCAGCATATCTGTATTTGAAAATGAAATGCCCCTTCTTCTTTATTAAGAGATGGTAATTATCTGAAGATGCTAAAATTAACATCTCTGGGGTCTGGTATGCATGCACCTCCTTTAAGCTACTTGGAGGAAGGGAGGGAGGCATTTGGGCAGGAATTTCCCTCCCTTTCATGGAGGCAGTTTGCCAACTGCAGGTTGCCAGCCGCTCCCCCAGACCCGTACCTCCAAGATAAGGATAAAGGAGAAGTGAGGCTGAGTCATGCCCTTTCAACTCCTTTCAGCCTTAGTTGAGAGAAAGATTTACCCAGCATTTTAGGAAATTATTTTGGCACATACTAATTAATCTAATTAGCTTGAAAGGACCCCTGTTGACTTTTAATGTCTTGGTCAATATGAACTTCTGGGAGAAGGGGATCTCAATGATTTCCGAGTCAGTGCTGTGTTGATGGACGCAGGCTGAATGCTTATTTCCCAGGGCAGTTTTATCTTAGTATAATGGCACCCTCTTGAGCCGCTTTCTTCATTTACCACAGTGCATATGATGAAAAAAGGAAGGAAAGCTATTTTTCAAATGAAGTTATCCAGGAAAATGCATCTCTTAAAAATGCTGCTAATCGTGTGAGATTTCCCAGGTTACTGACATGTAATAAACAGTGAGGATCCTTCCTGGTTTCGGGGTTTTTTTTCTTGGTTTTCAGTGCCTAAGTACATGTTCCGTTGAGATTATCTGAACAAAAAAAAAAACCTTACTAAGAAATTTACCCAAATCAGACCAAGAAATCTCCCTGTATCTGTCAGCCTACAGGCCCTTTTGGAAACCTGCCATGTATGGGGTAAAAACAAGGTTTTAATTTAAATTCATACATATGGCTTTAACAGATGAATTTGCCAAATGTTAATGCCTGAACTGTTTTGCTACTTTTGAGAAATGCCATGCTCGTACACCAGGATGGAAGGGATGTATCAGTTGTCTGCAGTGGTGAGACACTTCTTGAGTCCTTTTGTGGTAGTGCTGCACCGCCACAGTTCTCACTGCTTTCCTCATGTGAAAATTTGCTATAGAAAACTTGTACTTTTCCCTTTAAATATGCAGCACTTTCCTTGCCAGGGAATGGCATCTGCTGCACCTCTTTTAAAAATACGAGATGCATGTTGGCTTGGTTCTTTTTTTTTTTTTGAAAGATTAATAGTATACTAAGCAGGTTTTGTTGTTGTTGTTTTCATTATTATTTCCAAAAAGAAAAACTGTTTTCTAACTCACATCAAAGCCAAGTAAAATCTTGCTGTAGCAATTGTTCCTGGTCAGGTTGACCAGCTCCCATCACTCATTTGTAATGTGTTCAACACCTCATTAAGGAAGATAAATTAGTTTCCTGCCTTTTATAACTTTAAAAAAAACAAACACCAAAACCAAAAAAAAAACCAAAACAAAAACAAAAAACCAAACCACCTGTTAAAAGGAAACTTTTAGTATTGAAGTGAGATGAGACTTTTCTGGGCGTTCTTCTGCCTGGATGGGTACGGATAAGATTGGATCTCATGTGGGTGTGAGGAAACAAACATCCAAGGGGTGTTTGGACCAAAGGTTGCTCCAGGGAAGGGCTGATGTGTTTGACTTGGTGATTGAGGAGACCCCCGACTGAAGTAGAAGGAAGAGAATTTCTTTTAGACCAGTGGAAACTGCTGCAGAAGGAAGGAAATGGAGAAATTTGTCTTAAAAATGTCTTATTAGTGAGATGTGGCAGAGCACAGAAGGTCTGGAAGAGGCATGAGCTGTTCAAGCTGTCAGGATGCAATCAACAGTGGGGTCAGGTTATGTTTGCACTGTGGGTTGGAAGTGCATGTGGGCTGTTGCAGCTCAAAAATAGTTAATTTTTTTTTTTTTTGTGGGGGAAGCAAGGAGGCCTGTTGGGAGCTGCTAAGAATTACTCTGCTTTTCATTTTACCCCATCTGTGTTTGGACAGCTCTTCCTTACCCCTTGTGCTGACTTCTGCTCTCTCATTTATCTGTCGTGGTCCTTGTTTTCACTCCCTGGTTTTTAAGCATAAGGTTTTAATGAGGATTTGAGCTAGCTGATGTGGCGTGGGCTTGCCAGCTTTTTCCTTGCAATTAAATGGGAAACAGTTTAGTCTTACAGAAATGAGAACTCAGGCTCTGATCTCCAGGAGTTGGGCTTTTTGGTAAAAACAGTAACATCTCAGGAGTGATGATAACTTGCTAGGAGGTTGGACTGGGTGATCTGCGATGATCCCTTTTGACCTGAATGATTTTGGGTTCCTGTGTTGGCTGCGGTGGGCTGGGGGGCTGCACGAGGATTCACGGCTGGGGAGGGAGGAGAACCTCCACTAGCAGCCCTGGGTGTTGTAGGAGGCACAACCAAGGCAGGGTGGAAAAGGAAATACAACGTAATGACAGTGTGCTTTAAAAAAATAAAATTAAATTAATGAGGGTTCGGCACCTTTCCCCCTTCTATTGCAATTGACCTTTTGTCTTTCTCTGTCCTCTTGTTTCCTTTTTCTGTCCTTTATTTCTAGCAAGACTGAGGACTGGGGGTATCTCAATGAAGATGGAGAGCTCGGCTTGGCTTATCAAGGTTTAAAGCAAGTTGCCAGGTCAAATGCTTTTCTTTTCTCCGCTGCTGCTTCTCCCCTCTCTCCCTTTTGCTTGCCCTTTTGTTTCTTTCTCTTCCTCTGCTGTTGTCCTCTATAGGACCCATTGTCTTCTCTGAGAGCAACCAGAGGTAGAATATCCAAACTGGAGGAATTGAGACCCTCTTCTAATTTTCAGAGGAGTCGTCGCGATTCTAATTGGGCATTGCTGATGGTGGTTGTTGTCACTAATGCCTGAGCTGTGATTCAGTAAGAATTATGTTACATTAACGGGAAATTGTGTGATAAAGGTGTTGGGAAGCTGTAATCTCCAGGAAGCCAAAACAAACAAACAAAAACATTTTAGATTTTTTTTTCTCCTAATTGCACTGAGATAGTGTTTTCTCCCAATCCTTGACATGTCAGAAGTGGAGTCCCTGTGCTTGTATTGCAACCCTGTCCGCTTTGCATGCTTCTGGGGATTGTGTGCTCCCATCCACGCATTGCCTATAGGTACAAGGAGGAAGGTGCGTTGTGGACACCCAGTGCTATCCTTCCACAGCTCTCCCCATGTCCTGCTCTGGTCGGCAAATATCTCAGCGGGACACACCAGGGCTGTACCCGCAACCTCCGTATCTCCTGGAGATGCCGGTGATTCTGTAATGATCTCTCATCTCCAAGCTGATAAACGTTTAGAAACACAAATGGAGATTAAAGCAAGGCAGAATGACTCCTGGATTCTTTTCCTGGTTCAAGCTGGTGCTTGGAAGAGCTGATAATTAAATGTTAATCAGTCTGTGCTCTCCTGCAGGGTGGTTATGAGGCTCCAATATATATATATGATTTTTAAAAAAAGATTAAATGAGCTGATTAAGGACACTATAGAGAGGAAAAATTAAAATAAACTTTTGTATCAAGTAGTCTAAAGCAGTCACATCTAGAGGGATCAGAGTAAAACCAGACAATAACAGGGATGATTAATTTGTTTTTCAAAGCAATGTAGGAACCCAAGTTTGTAGAAGGAGCATGTTTTTCTGAGGGTGGCTCATGGTTAATCCGAACCCACATGAAGAAATAAAATGAAAATTAAGTACTTAATACTTATTTCATGGTGGGCCTGTATTTTCCAAGCCTATTAAGAATATAACTCCTGACAACATGATTATGAGGCTGAGTGTATTATTGGCCACGTTTCTATAGCTGGAAAATATCCTCTTCTTTTGCTAGAAAATGGGAGTAGAGATTGGGTTGTTTAGCTCTTGTAAAAATGACAACAAAAAACCAAACTGGGAAACGATTAATGCTTTTCATCCAGAAATCTTCCACAGAAAGCATGTGTTCTTTTATACAAGCCTTAAAAAAACAAACCACAAAACAACAAAAAAACCCTCCCTGCTTAACAGTTCACAGGTGTGAATGTCCATGAATTTCCCAGTGGACCCAACAGAGTTGTAGCTTTTTTCCCCACTCACTGGCACAGCTCCGTGTCTGTGCATGTCCTGGGTAAATGCTAAGCTATTGACACCAGAATCTTCCTCATCTTTGAGGATCACTGCTTGGATCCGATGCCAGAAGAGATGAAGCCCCTGAGCCCGGTGCGTGGCTGTCCGTGGATGTGCTCTCCTGGGCAGAGCTACGAGTTACAGCTCGGGATGTGGGCTTGGATATCCCTCTGGGTCATTCCTCCTCTTTGCCACCATCGCCCTGTGTAGTCTGGGACTAATACTTTGCAGTTTGTGGCTTGATATCCTTTTCTTGGAGTCCTCATCCCTTCTGGAGTCACTTACTTCAAGCTTCTGGAGAGAGCTGGTGGGCTAACGAGATTTCCATTTAGCAGAGGGTAGGGAATACCCTTAAAAAAATCAGTTATTGTGTCACTTGCCAGGTTTGTCAGCATCCCCATCAGCATGGGTGTGTGCAGGAGGGCAGTTAACATCTCAGTGATGAATCATTCTTCCACTGGATTAATGAAGGCATTCTGGTTTTAGCAAATAGCCGGCTAATGGACTAAATAAATGTCTTACCCTTTAGCTCAGCATTTCCCCTCACCCCAGGGTTGTCCTTGTGCACAGGGCTCAGGGCAGGGCTGGAAGGAGACCTGTAGGAGAGGGTGGCAGGACAAATCACTGGAGAAAAAAATTGGGTACCCACCTAAAAGTGGGAGAAAGACTTGTTTTGGTGACTTCTGTCTGCCGTGTATCATAGTGTTAGTATTTTTATGTTGTGGAGTACAAGGAAACAAGTCTTTTTGCCCCTGCTTAAGAGTCCTGGTGAAGTCAGGAGTGATGATGAATGCTGAGAGCAGGAACTGATCACGGTGACAGAGAATTGCCTCGTGCATAGTTTTCTGCAGGTAGTTTATGAATTAAAATTGAGATATATGTGAATATACTTCTTCTTAAGCAAAGATAAATAGCAGCTCTACAAACAGCTAGAAGGAATGAAGGGTTTCAGCTTCTTTCTGCCTTGAAATTCCCAGCAGTAGCAAAGCTGTGGTAGTCCAGCCAAACGGAGTCATTTGCAATGCAGTTCAGTTTTCAAGAGTAAGAACTGATGTTTGAAAGCGGGTGAGCGCAAGAACAAATGCCCTTCAAGCTGAGCTTTTGAAAAAAAACCTGCAGGTGTTGATCTGCTCTGCTTTCATGCCATGCATTTGCTTTGCCAATGGGAAGAGTAAAGTTTGTGATACAGTTACAGAAAAAAGGGAGCTCTTGGAATTTTTTTTCTCCCCTTTTATTTAAAAAAAACCCAACATTTTGATCTCATGTCTCTAATTTCAAAAGTATTTAATCTGCAGTATAGCAAATGACAGACTAATATGGCAATAATAGCCATAAGCAGGCCTTTGCATGTGTCAGTTTTGTAGGGAGGTTGACTGGGAACATCTCCCAAGCTGGCTGACTTTGAAGGATCTAAACTCAACTGGTGGTCCTTTTCTCAGGTTGCTGGAAGCACAACTCCAGGATCAGAAGAGAGAGCACGAGGAGGAGGTAGAAGCTCTGAAAAACCAGGTGGATGCAATGAAAGAAGAGCTGGAGAAACAGCACCAGGCTTTCCTGCAGACCCTGCAGCTGTCTCCGGAGGCCCAGGTGGAGTTTGGACTTCAGCAAGAAATTACACGTCTCACCAATGAAAATCTGGTAAGAAGCTGTACTGAAAACACAGCCTAAGGAAGAGGGGAAAAGAAATGGGTTGAGAGAAAAGAGATAGGAAATGGGGAGGGGAAGGCACTGGGGTCTCTTCCACCTAAACTCTCTGCAGGATCCTTCAGCATCTTCTACTGGTGCGTTTGGGAGTGTTGGTACTTGGCTTTGAGCTGTTGTTCAGTGGCTAGGACTCTTGTGACTCCCTAGGTACTTTTTTTTTTTTTTTTTTTAACCCTCCCTACTTTGTGGCTCTGCCTACCAAATGAGATTGCTGAAGTCATGGGGGACCCCATCCTCTAATTATGTACAAAGACAACGCAATCCTTTCTTCTTGTTTACATTTATCTGGGATGTGGGGGGCATTTGCCACTCTGAAGAGTTATCCTGACTGATCATAAATTTTCCTTTTCTCACCTCCTCTATCTATGTGCAAAGTCTGGAGTGAATATTGGCCCCTCCTAAGTTCAGGTGAGGGCTTTCTTGCCTTTCTCAACAACTGTAGTATCTAAATAGTGTTGGAACCATTTAAAGATGATTAACAGCCAGGAGTAAAAATGCTTCTGGGGGTGTGTTGTGAGTATTGCCTGCTGTGTAGGCTACCTCTAGAAAAAGCAGGCACGCAACATCCACAGTCTTTGCAGTGTAGGTAAGGGTCTCTCTGAGCAATCCAGAAATAACACGGCTCTTCTTCTACCAGGATGCTTACACCGTGCAGTAGTGGTGCATAGACCAGGCTGCCAAGTGACTCCAGCCTCAGACTTACCCGAAATGAATTGTTCTTGGGTTTAATTTTTTTTTTTTTAACCCAATGTGTCTTCTGTTTTTCAGGATCTCAAAGAATTGCTAGAGAAGTTAGAAAAGAATGAAAAGAAGCTGAAGAAGCAGCTGAAGATTTACATGAAGAAGGTCCAGGATTTTGAAGGTGACTTGGCTGTTCGTAGACATTGGGGTGGGGAACAGCGCTCTGGTTTCCCTTCTTTGGCCAGCCTTGGAGAGCTGCAGGTTTTTCTCTTTTTCTTTCTATTAAAGTAAGATTTTGCTTGTTCTGGGCACTGAACTAGCAGTGAGCTCATCATTGGCGTGACAGCAGGGAACCGAAAGTCCAAATGAAGGTCCTGGGTCATCCTTAGGCTGTCTTTGAGCAAGCACAGCTGTGCTGCTGTAGCTTTAGCTTGTTAATGTGGTTGAACGTGGCAAATTTGGAAGAGTGTCCGCGAAGTGATGGAGGGAAGTGCTTGCTAGAAGTGTTGGTCTGATGCTTGGTGTACCAGGGTTTGGAGGGTATTTAAAGAACCCTTTTTGCTTTCATTGCTGTCAGTGCGGTGACTCAAGCAGAGATCTAGAGAGGAGACCAGTGGCTAGCAGGCAACTGCTCTGATCGGGCAATTTTGAGGCGGAATTAAGACCACTTAGGATTAAAATATATATGTATATTCTACTTGTCATATTTGTGGTGTTTTCTGATCATCTGTGTTGTATGGAAGGAGCTTCCCATTCTCTGGAGGTGCCGTGATTAATCACATAACCTTGTTCTCATGAGCTAATTTTTGAAAACTAGGCATTAAGTGAAATTAAGCTGAATTAACTGGAGGGTTTCCATGGCTAGCAAGGCTGGTCTCTGTCAGTGTAATTTGCATGCAGCAGGCTGCTGTTTACTGCAGTACTTGCACGCTGGTCTCTCCTGTTTTATTAAACTTTTATAGAAGCACAACGCTCAATGGTGTGCCACTGCGGTTCTTCAGCTTTACAGCCAGCCAGAAGATGTGATGCTTAGGTATTTTTTCATTGCCTGGCTATTTTTTTTTTCCCCTTCTGTGAAAATGGTACACTAAAAAGCTTCCCATAGGGTTACTGCCTTCTAGCTTCTGGCTCCTTGGAAAATGAAAAATGACTTCATCTTTTCCTCATTAGGTCCAACTTTTGCACTTTCTTTCATTCAGAGTCAGAACTACTGCTGACTGGTAATTCAAGACCTGGTTCTTTATATTCTTCTAAGTCTGTTGAAGCTGATGACATTATTGGAAATTTAATACATAATGCTTTGACTTGGTGTCTGCTGTAAGGCCAATGGAGGACGTGAATAGCTGTCAATCACCAGGTACCACCTTTCATACTCTTATCTCTTCACAGCATCACAAGTCACAGTACCGGCGGAGAGGAGGCAGCATGAGCGTAACATGCAAGTTGTCGTCCAGAGGAAGGAGAAAGATTTTCAGGGCATGCTGGAATATTATAAAGAAGATGAGCCACTCCTCATCCGAAACCTCGTTACAGGTGAGGAACTTGCTCAGCTCCTATGCATGGCTCCTTCTTCTCTTGCCTGGGAGATCTCAAGATAGGCAAATAGGTCTTCTCAAATGAATCCCTTCTGGGGCTGCATGTTTGTGGTGATGGCAATTTTGGTAGGTAAAGCGGTGCAGTACTAAGCAGGCTGACCAGCATGAGTGGAATCCTTAGGGACAGCAAAAAATGGAAAATGTAAAAAGGCGGCTGTAGTTTTTAGAGCAGGCAGTAACTTGCTGGGCTTCATACGATGTGGTAGTAGATGGGGAGGGGATGGCAAAGGCTAGACCATGGGGTTTACACAGCAATGGAACAAAGGTAGTTTGGTTTATGAGATAATAACAGACTTGTGAGCTCTTCTACGCTGGAAGGTCTGATCAAAATTGTTGCAGCATCCCCTTATTCAATGCTGTTAAAGAAGTCACGCTTCTCTGGCTAAGTGTTAGTATTTACCATCACTCTCTAACCCCAGCAGAGTCTAGTGAGGATCTAAGAAGTGTTCAAAGAGCAGTGCTACCCCATTGCTGTGGTCTTTGAAGTTCCCCTAATGGGACAGGCTCTTCTTTAGAGGCTGCAAATTCCCACAACTGCCATTAGGACTCAGTATCTTGAGGGCAAGAGTGATTTACTATGTCATGAATTTAGAGGGGGGGTGTGGTTTATAACCTGTGAGAGGTATTCCTGAAAGCTTCAGGGAGCTTTTCTAAGGTTATTTGTGTGCTGCTTGGGTAGGCTTTTACACGGCAAAGATCTAGTGCTACCTGTGCATCCGTACGGTGTAATGGGATAGTGTGTCAAACTTCAGTGCAGACAGTGCTACCCTCCCGGGCCCTAGTGCTGCAGCTCTTCTGCTTTGGCTGGCTCCAGCAGGTCTGTCTGTCCTGCAGTTGGACCTCTGGTTCTGTGTCCGCGCTGCAGGGAGGGATGCAAGCTGCAGAGCTGAAATCTCAGCTTCCCCAAGGCTGCGGGGAGAGGGGTTTGCCTGGGTACATCTCCAGCTTTGGTGTTCCTGGCTTCACCTGGCAGTTGGTGAATTTTAAGAGGATTTTTTTAATTAAAAAAAAAAAAAAACAACAAAAAACCAACCCAAACCTTCTAGATCTCAAGCCCCAGGCAGTGTCTGCTACTGTTCCCTGCCTTCCTGCTTACATCCTCTACATGTGCATCAGACACGCGGATTACATCAACGATGACCAGAAAGTGCACTCCTTGCTCACCTCCACCATCAATGGGATTAAGAAGGTGCTGAAGGTAGGTGTCTCTTTTCTCTTCTCTTGGGGTTCAGATTGTGTATGATGGTAATAACCATGTCAAAGTATGTGATATTCAGCACTTGTAGTGATTTTCAAACCCACTCACTCTCCTAGCTTCCCTTTTTAGAAGAACAAGGAGAATTATGATCTTAGCAATAAAACTGCTTGCATTTACAGATTATAAAAACAAATGTTTGCAGGGAACAAATGGCTAATACTGCCCATCTGCAGAGAGACAGCTTCCTGAATCTAGGTGGGGAAACTCAAAATCACACTGTCTCGCTATGCCAGCATCCCCCACTGAAGAGGGGGGTCTCACATGTTTTAATTTTGCTCCTCCAGAAACACAACGATGATTTTCAGATGACGTCGTTTTGGCTGGCCAATACGTGTCGCCTCCTGCACTGTTTAAAGCAGTACAGCGGAGACGCGGTAAGAAACTCGTCACTGATCTGGAGTGTTGGCATTCCTTCAGGAATGGTTGGTCTTCAGGTCTCCTGGGTCTAGTGGCTTCCCTCTGGCTATGACATGGGGTCATCTCTGACTTTCCTCGATTGTTAACTGGATATAACATGAGGCAGCTCCTAGAGTCATAGAATAGTTTGGGTTGGAAGGAATCTTTGAAGGTCATCTCATCCAACCCCCCTGCTATGAGCAGGGACATCTTCCACCAGATCAGGTTGCTCAGAGCCCCGTCCAACCTGACCTGGAATGTTCCCAGGGATGGGGCACCTACCGCCTCTCTGGGCAACCTGTCCCAGGGTCTCACCACCCTCATCATAAAACATTTCTTCCTTCTATCTAGTCTGAACTAGACCAGAGGTTCATGGGGCATTGCAGTGAGACAAGACATTTGAGAGCTGAAACCAGGACACAACACACAACAGAATATTTTGAATTTCATAGCCAACCATGCGCTTTGATTTGTCTGAACAGGGGCTTTCTTTCTGGAAGGCTGTTCCCCTGGTTTTAGTAGGTCCCACAATTTTTCACTAAGCAAGATTTTCAGAGGAAAACCATTCCAAATGTTGCAGTTTTATTCTGCACGTTTCTACTGATTTTTTTTTTTTCCTGTTCTGTTCAACTAGTTCAAAATAACCACGCTTTGAGACAACAAAAATGCATAATTATAATGTAAGATTTGGGAAGGAAATCCTCTCATTTCTTGCCACCTCAGTAATGTTTCATAAGTTGAAATAAGTTTTATTATAGCCAATCTCTTCTGACAAAGTCAGATCATCACAGTCCTCTTAGTACATTACATGCTGCCATCCTTATAGCCATGTGTTCTGGGTATTAAAATTTTCAACAGAGCCAAAGTATATCGTTTTTCATTTAGTCTTGATTTGTGTTAGATATATTGAGTAGTCAAGCTTTAAGAATAAAGAAAAAAAAATTTCATGGAATCAAATAAACTATTCGGATCATTCACAAGATAATGACTGGTGTGTGAAATCTCGGTGCTGGACTTTCAAGATTTAAATTGAAAAGAAAAATAGTTTAGATCATACTTACTAATAGTTATGCTCCTGTTTGCCCTCTTCTGCCTGGATAACAATGTTACATTTAAAGAAAATCCTCCCCAGAAAACCAGCAGGGTAAAAAAAAACCCAACAAACCCAAACTTAAATTTCACATCCTTTGCTTTGATTTACTGTGTTAAATGAACCAGGTATTTGCAAATTCAGTTGATAATTTGGTGCAAAAAACAGAGGGGAAAAATTGTTCTGAGCAGTTTCCAAAATACTGTTATCTTTAGTTTGAAATCCAAGCTATTTTTAAGAAAATGAGTTTAAAAGAAAATCCCAAACTAAATGCAATTTTGCAGTGCAAGGAGCACAACAGTTTTTCATTGGTCAGGAAAATGGAGAAATTCTGAAGTCAGCTGAAATTGTACATGTTGTATTTTTACCCTTTGCTAGTCAACAAACAACAGCATTTATTTGCAGGATCTGAGATCAGCTGCTTCTCCGTCAAAAGGCAGGGAATAAATTCAATTACTTGGAGAGATTTCTGAACTTCACATCAGCTTAAAATGTTGTCAAAGCATATAGCATGTGGTTATTTTTTTTCCCTAAAATATTAATCTCAAGATATGTGGTTTCCCATAAATAATTGTGACTCACAGGTATAAACAAATAGCTAAAAAAAGTTTCTCAGGGACTGAAATGTCTTTTTCTAGTTCATATATGTTGCAGTTTATACAGATGTTGCTCCTTGCTAAAGTTAAAATGAAAAACTTATCGCTTAATGATGCTTTTCTTCAAAAAGCAGCCCTCTAGTAATAATTTATGAACAAATGGCTAAGTAAATCAAAGGTGATATATGAGTCTTGATCTTTTCTATAATAGACTAAGAATGTACTTTGGTAACATATCTGGATATCTTGTACTCTAAGGTGTTTTTTTTTAATGCAGTGATTTTACTGGACTATAAATAGGTGGAATAATGAAACCAGGTGTCTTAATCTCCTTCTGTTCAGGGTTTCATGACACAAAACACACCTAAGCAGAACGAGCACTGTCTGAAGAACTTTGACCTGACCGAATACCGCCAGGTGCTGAGCCACCTCTCTATCCAGATTTATCAACAGCTCATTAAGATAGCAGAGGGCATACTCCAACCCATGATCGGTAAGTTCACAGCACATTAGCTTTTAGGAAAGTATTTTTTTTTTCTGTAATTATCTACTATGAGTGTTTTTCAGACCTTTGTGTGGTGCTAGCATGACTTCTCCCCAAAGGAAAAGCCTGTGGTTGGCCAAGAGGCGTATGTTACCAAGAGTCTTGGTTTGGAGCAGGTCCTCTTGTTAGCAGTGACTTGGAGTTAGGGAGACAGACTTGGATGAGTTTTTTTTATTTTCTGTCATGATAGAAACTTAATAGGGATGAGGTTTTTTTTCCCCCATGATAGAAGATACCTCCTTCCTTTCTGTTGGGGAGGTAGTGACAGAGGTGAGGTGGTGCTGGTGGGACCGTAGCAACAGCATTCCCCTCCAGACCAGGTTCATGGTTAAGCTTTTTATGAGTGGAAATGTGCGTTATGAGGGAGGAGGAGAACTGGGAAGAGGAAAAAGAAACTAATGAAGACCTTGTTTTGCAAGGGTGAGTCAGTATGAGAAGAGTTGCCTCCTCAGCTAAAGCTGTCCTCCTCCTTGCTAAGCTAATTGAGGGGCTGTTCTCAGTGCTTTATATTTTTCTAGCTGCTGGTGTTTTCCTTTGGCTCCCAGCCTGGACTCTTCTGTATCTGGGACTCTTTCCCTTTGCCCTCCAAATGTCATTGCACAAATCCTGGCTGTATCTGACAGCATCACTGCCTACCATCGCTGCATGTTCCTCCTGCTCCTTGCAGAAAGTTGTCCGTTCCTCTATCAGTTAGGCTGTAAGAATTTTATTACTTCTAATCTATCTTCATTTCTCTCAATCCTTTGAGCCAATTAATCATTTTAACTGCAGAATTTAAGGCTCTGTGGTGGGTATAGAGGGAGAATTGATTACAGGTCAAAGGAGAGCTGTTCCCTGTTTCTGCAGCGTGGTAAGTGATTTCTGTGTAGTAACACCAAGGAAAAAAAAGTGTGATCCTACAGATATTTTGTGTGCTTCAACAATTTCATATTATCACAGTAAACTAGCAATTCATGGACCTGTCCTGCTTTCAGAGCTCTCAGCATCCATCGTGTTGCATCACTGAGACTGCTGCATGTTTATGACTGCTCACGGAGGGGTTCTTACCTCTAGTGACTAGTAGGTGGATGCAGACTTTTTTAGCTCATTTTTTTTCCCCCTTTTTCAGTGTCTGCGGTGTTGGAAAATGAGAGTATCCAGGGGCTTTCCGGTGTCAAACCGATGGGCTACAGGAATCGCTCCTCCAGCATGGCAGATGGCGACAGCTCCTACAGTCTAGATGCAATCATTCGCCAGCTGAACACGTTCCACAGCATCATGTGTGACCAGGGTCTGGACCCAGAGATCGTGCAGCAGGTCTTCAAGCAGCTCTTCTACATGATCAACGCAGTTGCCCTGAACAATCTCCTGCTGAGGAAGGATGTCTGCTCGTGGAGCACGGGCATGCAGCTAAGGTGGGACGGGGGCTTGGGGTGGAGACGTACCTGTTTAAGAAAGTTTTGTTAACTTCATAAGGTGGTAGAAAGTAGGAAAATAAAATGCAATGGTGTAAGTAAGGGGAGAAACTGTTTGGATTCAGCAGGAGACTGATGCAGTGGCAGTTAAAGCTAACCCCCAGTGAGTAATGCCTGTGCAGTGCAGTTTGCTGTGCAGCTTGTGAATTAAATGTATGGTACAGTAATTATCTCTGGGGTGGCCTTTCCCCAGCTTTTCCTCACCCAGCCTGAGTGGGAAGGTTGCACAGCCCAAAGATTACACCAGGTGACGTAGGATGGATTGAACACTGGGATGGAGAAGCCTCCGTGGTTCTCTCCCGCTGCCGTGTCTGCTGGTTTTAATGTAGGAAGCGTTGTAGTGTCAAAGGCTCTGGTTCTGCAGGTGGATCTTAAAGCCAAACCTCTGTTGCTGTGTGCAGTGCCTCTGGCCTCTCATGAGCTGCAGGCAAGTGGCAGCACGGATTTCTGCTGGGCTGGGATCAAGGGTACGCGTGCCCCATCGCTGTCTTAGCGTGGTGTTGTAATAAGGACTGAAATTTGAAATGACAGCTAGTGCAAACCTGCCAGAAAGGGCTCATGAATATTTATCAGCCCTGGCATAAATCTATCTACTTCTCGGTGTAAATGATTTAAACCTTGCTTTTGCTACCCTCTCCCCTTCCCACAGTGGATCCTTTGCATGCTCCCCTTGAGCCTAGGAGTGGGCACAGGCAAAGGCATTTTTTGTGTAGATAATTTTCAGAGGTACTTGGGTACCTTGCAGGATTTTGTTAGCATTTAAAAGCTTGTTAAAAGCTTAATTTTAATTGACTTTTGAAACTTGAACAAATCTGAATGCTGTAGAAAAGCACATCCCTTGTGCTGTTCAGCTGTTACATGGCTCATCTGTTTCTAAGGTACATAGAGTATAAGTTTTGCTTTGAGTTGTTGAGTATTAAGCTTTGGTCTGGTTGTCTCTTGGCATGTGTATCACAAATATGCATCACAAAAAGCCACGCATACCAGTACTGCAACACACCTTGAGTCTCGCAGAGGATTTTTGAGATGCTACGTCTTATCTCTTGGCGCTCAGCTCACATCTTGTCTTGGTTGCTTACCCAGGTTTAACATAAGCCAGCTGGAGGAATGGCTGCGTGGGAAGAATCTGCAGCAGAGTGGAGCAGCACAAACTTTGGAGCCCTTGATTCAAGCAGCACAGCTTCTGCAGCTGAAAAAGAAAACCTCGGAAGATGCTGAGGCCATCTGCTCCTTGTGCACATCGCTCACAACCCAGCAGGTAGAGAGCAGGGCAGAGACTTAGACCAGAGGCTACTGATAATTAAAGGAGTGGGAAAGGGTGGTCAGTGTGCCATTCCCACCACGGGGACAACTTGTCCTTTTCAAGACTGATGTTAGGTACCTGACCCCTGTCAGAGGCAGTCGCCACGGTGGCTCCTCTCTTACAGTGCCACTGATGGTGCTGGAGCTCCAGAAATCCACAAAGATGAAACAGAGCCCTGAGGAGTTCATGGTATAAGTCAGACGCTTGGGATTTTAAACCTACCTGTTGTCTTTTGCCAGGGTCTAACCTGGTTAGGTCTGCAGGATGCCCACCCAAGATTTGGAGTGGGAGGTTGAGAATTGCCCACCTAGGCTGGCTGCATCCGACCTTAAACTTTGAGACTCCATTAAAAGAGGATATAAACTCATGGGTTTTGCTGCTGGATTGCCTGGCCTTCATTTGATAATGCCGAAGGAAGGGAGAAGTGAGAGGTGTGAGCTGATCTCCAGTGGTTCTTGGAGATCCTTTCTCCTCTATCTCCATCTCCCTGACTTGAATGTGTGTTCCTGAGAGAAGCCAAGGGAGGTGGTAGGGGAGGAGCAGGAGTGAGGGAGCATCGGGAGAAGTGTTGTAAAGGTGATATCAGAAGTAATGGGAAGCGGTCACCCGTGTCACCATGTGCCAACCGAGTGGAGTCCCTGTATAAATCTGTTGTTCAAGTCTATTCCCAATTTACAAAAGCTGCCATAAGAAGTGACTTTGAGAGGTCCATAGAGGCTTACCATACCTTAGAGCAGGCAAAGGAACACCAGGATGATACTTGTGCTACTTCTGCTTCTCAGTGGTGTCATGGAAGACTACTTATGGCCATATCAAGACAAACTGTTAGTGGTGCTTTGTATTCTAGAAAAGTTTAGCTTCTTTTAACTGCCTGTAATCCTATTTTGTTTTCAACAGATTGTAAAGATACTTAATCTCTACACTCCTGTGAATGAGTTTGAAGAACGTGTGACAGTAGCTTTCATACGAGACATACAGGTAAATTAAAGGGCTGTGAAGTGGAGGAGTTAGTACTAATGACATCTGTATTAAATCATTACTAACTCTGGCATTTTGTAGTAGGCATGCTGCTGCATGTTGTCCTGGATTTAGTGCTCTGCATGTGCACGTGCTTACTTGCAACATACAGCTGCAGGGATAACCAGGCTGTTAATCACAAAGAGCACCTAAGTTCCCAGCTCAGCTAATCCAATGCTCTTTAGCAGCAACGCAATGCAGAAGTAAGGTTGCAGGAGTCAGCGAAGCATCGGTGAAATGGAGTTATTTCTGAGATACAAGGCAACAAGAGATTGGCAACTAAAGGAAAAATAAATAAAACTGAACATCTTTTAATGCTTGCAAGGAGGAGGGAGGAAAAGGAAACAAATGCATTCAACTACTATTAGCATATGTCTCCATCGCTGAGTGGTTGAATCAAAAGTGGTCTGCTGGTATCATGGAGCGCTGCTTTTGCTGTGTGAGGGGGTCATGTTGCTTCCAAGTCCCATGTCTTGCTTTGTGGTCATGTAGAAAACATAGCCAGGTTCTTCTGAAGCAGTGTTTCCTACAGTCTATGTGGAAGTTGCTGTAAAAATTTGCTCAGAGGATGGCTGCTGCAATAGGGAACAAAATAGTTCTCTCTGGTTTTTGCAATTGCTAAAATTGTGTACATTCTCAAATTTTTTATGTTAAACATGACAAATGCAAAGAAACGGCAAAAACTGATACTAAATTTGTTTTCTTCTCCCACACCTCATAGATGCACTTGCAAGAACGAAATGACCCTCCACAGCTGCTGTTAGACTTCAAGCACATGTTCCCGGTTTTGTTCCCCTTCAACCCATCCTCCATAACCATGGACTCTATTCATCTCCCTGCTTCTCTCAACTTGGAATTTCTCCATAAAGTCTGAAGAAAGTACAAATAAGCCCACCTCTCCTACCCAGAGACCTCCAGCAAAGAAAGAAAAATCACAAAAGGAATTTAAGGAGCTCTTTAAATAGGGACCAAACAGGTTTATGGAAGAACCAAAACACAGTAATAAATGGATGCTAAACTGTACAGTAAAAAAGAGACTGATCTGTATGTGATTTTTTTTTGGTAATTTGCAGCTCAGAATAAGGATACTTGAAATGTAGATTTATTTTTTACTGTTTGATTTTATGTTGACATAGTTCAAAGCCCATAATCATCTCCAAAAGCCACTAACAAAAAAGAATGGTGAGTGGGAGGCAACTTACTTGGATCTTCATAGGTGTCTATGAAGAAATGACAGTTAAATCAAAAACAAAATCTGAGACACTTATGCTGCCTTGAAGGACGTGTAATTTGTCTAATAGCTAGGTGGTTTTGTATGTGTTAATAACAGGACATGCAATTCTGCCTCCTGTTCTTGCTAGTAACTGTATTGTGATAGCGAGTTGAGAAAGTAAATTGCAGAAGGTGCAAGTACCTATTTATCACGCCGGTTAAGGTAATGGGCTTGGACGCTGCTTGTTTCCACTGACGTGGAGTTTGTCACAAATTCTATGTTTGAGACATGCTGTTGCTCCTCCTAACTACATCCAGTGCATCTGCTTCATGGGAATTCAAATAAATTGGCGGTTTGGACTTTATTCCATTACCAAGTTTACATTAGTGACTTGCAAAGGTTTTGTCCTAGTGAAATAATCTCGAGACAAGGGACTGCCTTAGGCCTCCTGCTTCTAGTATAGATGAGCATCATCCTGATCCATAGTGTTGGCTCTCCCTGTGCTTTTAAAAGCCAAAAACTTTCTTCTGGTGGCTACTGGGGTTCTTAGACCTCTTACATGGCCTGTATCAGAATCTCATGCATAGGTAAGACATGCTAATGCAACCCAGTTTAATATTTGGGTCCCCAGTCCTACTTAGGTTCGGTGGGTTAGTTCTAGCCATAGCAGTCCACGGAAAAACTCTATTCAGTTCAATAGCCATCCAAAATGTTACCAGTCATGCAAATGCAGGGTTTAGATAAATGAAGAATACTTAAAGAAAAAAAAGAGTTTTAAAACAAAAGGGAATGGATAAGCAATGAAATGTTTTAACACAAAAAAATTTTAAGATAGTGTGTTAGTAATGTAAGCCATTTCTTTAAGAGTGAACACGAACTCTTTGTCTACAACAAGCTTAAAGGAATAATTGCAATCAATTCAAATTCTGTTAGGATATTTTTTAAGCTAACTTATAAATTAAAACAAACCAATCCTCTGACCTCACCAGGTAGACGTTGAAAGGGGCCAGCCACTCACAAAAGCAGCCATTGATTTTTCTCGGTACTTACCACAACATGTTGACTTCTCGGTTACTGCAGAGAGCCACCCTCCTTGCTGAGAAGGGGGATAGGTGGGTTCCCGAGGCTGAGTGATGTTGTACAAAGACCCTAATGGTGATGCTTTTGCCGTGGCTCAGCGTGCCAAAATGCAACGAAGGTGTCTGGCAGCAGCGAAAGCCCCGCTCATCTTAGTGCTGGGAGCATTTCGCCCTTTCCACTTTCATACTGGTCTCGTCTAAGGAGATCTTAACTTACCTGCTTTTGTGGTTGCCGTTCCTGAAGTCTCGGCAATTCCGTGATGATTAAGAGCTTTCAGAAAAACCTCTCTGCATCTGACTGCTTTGAGTTGGTGTAAATCATATCCAAACAGCACATTTATGACCAGGTACCCTGTCTGCTCAGAGGATTAAAATAGAATGTGAAGTCTTTTAAAGATAGACTACATCCCACCATGCTGCAGTCACCTTTTTAGGTAAGGAGTGTGTTTTGATTTAAACATCATGTATATAATCTATGTATATACAAACTGTAATAGTCCTGTATGTACTATATATGTATATTACTATTCAGAAAGCACATTTTTAAAGAAAAAGTTGAGTGCTGTGAAGAATTATTTCAAATGGACTATGGTTTAGTACAGCTGTTGCGAGTGAAGGACAGACTTAAGGCCATTTCCTAGGGAGAAGTTATCTTTTCCCCTAACCGTCACCCAACTAAGGATAGAAGAAAATGCATTGTTTGTATAGTACCAGCACTACCTCCAAACGACAGTCCTTGAGCACTTGCATCTACTACGTATATTCAGTAGTGCCTTCATCTCCCCTTCATATACACTAAGGATAACGCCACCATTTTGCTGTCTGTGCCCAGCAAGCCCATGCTCTTCTGCCACTTGCTCAGCTATATTTTTATTTATCGTACCTACCTCTTTTCACGTTTGCAAATGAATGTTTTTGCAATGCTCTGTATTTAATTTTTTTAATGGTAGCTTATCCCTTTTTTCCACACTATAGTAGTCATGTCCGTTTAAAAATAAAAATAATTCAAAGCAGAATTCAGTCTTTGTGTAAGACGGTTTTAACATAGTGCTATTTCTCAGAATTCATCTTAGGCCAGCAGTTTCCTCTCAGGCTCTTCAGGTCTCTACCTCTCTCTCATGTAAATTATTCAGAGTATGATTCCCAACAGATTGATTAAACCAATGGTTGTCATTCAGACTAAATGACAGGTTGCTGCAGAATCCTCTTCTGCAACAATTTTGTTGCTGATCGCAATTACAAAATGTGGTTAATGGCCTTTTAGGGGATAATGGTCTTTTGCTGGCATTTTCAGGATCATGATTTATATGTACAACAAAGAGACTTTCTTAAAAACTCTTGGTATGTATAGATGGTAACTAGGATTTAATGTCTTGATCTGTGACAATGTAGTTTATCCATTAAAATCCATCTGGAAGAGGACTCTGTATGAAATATCTTTAATTTATCTTTTCTGTTAGCGATTTTTTTGAATTTGTTTTTAAATGTTAATTTTGTTAAATTACTATGCTCAAGCATGCCTGCCTTTCCTCAGATTGGCACTTCTTTATTTAATTTAACACAAAGCGTGGCTTTGAGAAAGCTGGCTGTTTCCCAGTTCTGTCTTTATTTTTAAATATTGATTATTAAGTTGAGCATTTTCCCACTGTGTGCCTTTAGCTGTTACTAAGGTAACTGACTTCTCAACCGCTGTTTCTCTGAAACAAGCATTAAAATGTGGGAATACTGTTCTTGTTCTGTCATAAAAAGTTGTCCGTGGATGTATAAGTGCTTACAAAATTTCACTCTGAGGAGGTCTGCAAAAACACTTTGAAGTTCCTAGGAAAAAAAAAAACCAAACCTGACCCATGCTGATTTTTGCATGTATAATGTATCTTAGAAAAGCACTATTGGGAAAAAAAAAAAAAAAAAAAAAAAAAGAAACACCACTGCTATGAAATGAACACTTCAAAGTGAAGTTCAGGCACGTGCTGTCTGACCTATGAAAAGCATCCAGAACAATGTACACGCTTCATTTTCACCAAAAACTTTGCTTTGATTTTTTTCCTTCTTTTTTTTCTTTTATTGGCATTTTGTAGCTAAGGTTGCTTATCTTTTGGCTGGTAAAGCTGTTGTAGTTGTTGACTGTGGAAAAGAACATTAGACCTCAACTGAATTTATGCAGTCCTACATCATAAACATTTTTTGTTCATGCGATTTACTTCCCTGTATCTGAAAGGACTTCTTTGTATGAGTGAAACAGTAGCAAAATGTGGGCATGTTTCAGAGTTTAAGCCTGGTGGCTACCTTTCCCGATACTGCAACTTAAACACTGAAATCACACCACCACCTAAAGTCTTTGCAAGATATGACCCTCCATTTGTGTGATTTGCAAAAGATACAAGTGAAAAAGATGCACTTGAAACAACAGGTCATTTTCCTCATTTTCAATAGTAAATGAACAAAACTTTGCAAACTTACTCTTTCAGACCATATTTAACTGAAAAATTAGCATTTGCCATTGCATATAATCTAATTAAAACGAATTGCATGAACTGCCATGAGCCTTTTTCCTCCAACTTTATTGATTCACATATATATTACAGTCATAAATTGATTCTTTTTTTTTCCCTGAAAGAAGTTCTAGTAATGTAGATGTTAAGTAAAACAATCCAGAGGACATATTCCCCTATGAGTATACAAATTATTTCAAAATGTAAATGCCAGTGGACAAAGACTTTCAAATTAAGTTGAAATTAGAAGAAAACAAATTATCAAAAAATGTGCTACTACAGTGCAATGTCTATTTTGTTTGTTTGTTTGGGGGGGGTGTGAAGTCTCATTACCTTAATGGGCAGAAGGTATAGCTGCTCTCAAAGGAGTTGAATGATATACAGGAGTGAATACTGTAGATGAAATACTACTGCTTATAAAATATTTTTCCATTTTGAACAAATCTGTAAACTACACCTTTGTTTATAGGAAAATGCTTGTAATAGTCACTGTAATATTCGGCTGTGGATAAAAAAAAATTTGTGAAATAAACACTTTTGAAGAAACTGGGACTTTTGGTCAAAAATGGGAATGTAAGAAATACACCTTTCAATATTTACTTCTATATATTGGAAACATTTCTATTTTAAAATTACGAAGTACTTTACAAACACAAATGAACAGTCTCGAAGCTTTTACTTAAGAAGTTGAAAGGTTTAGAAGATGTAATGTAATTTCAGAGGTGCTGAAATACTGTGAGGTAATTAGAAACCAATTGAGCGTGGAATCATGGCCTTGAAGGCACTTGTAAATGAATGGAGAAGAGGGGATGCAGTGCCAGCCCCTGTGCATGTGTTTAAATAAGATAATTTGATGGCAGAAAGAGGAAACATAGTAAAACCCTCCGCTTTTTTTCTTAAAGACAAAGTTGCATATTGCTGGATGTTCATTGATCTCTAGACTCATGAAACCATTGGAAATTATACTGAAAAGCCGGTAGAAGAAACTCTCTAAGACTCACTTTGGAGTTTTAGAAAGCAGGCATTCTTTATTGCAGCACTGGATGCACGGGGGATAGTTCCACCTAGCGTGCATACCGCAGCTTTAGCA